AATCCCTTTTAAACTTTTTGGCCTCTTGAGGCCACAAGGTCTTGAGAGAAAAAGCCCAGCTATGCCTTCCTCGGGTTACCGACCTTAGCATGATCCTGGAGGGGCAAACCCGTTTCTTAAATCCTGAATGGATTAAGCAATTTTGGGGTATCTCTTGTCCCAGACCTTATACAGCTGTGAGCCTTTTGTTGGGGGTCACTGGGTTCTGTTGTGTTTGGATTCTGGTATATGCAGACTTAACCAGGCCCTTATGTTGGCTTCTTAAAGAGGCTCAACAAAACTCTCAGTCCTATCTTGAGTGGGACCTGGAGGGCAAAAAGACTTTCCGAACTCTCAAACAGGCACTCCAATCGGCTCCAGCACTGAGCTTGCCTAGTCAGGACCGTTTCCAGCTATAGGTATATGAAAAGGGAGGCCTAGCCCTTGGGGTACTCACTCAGCTCTGAGGGCCCACCCCATAGCCAGCGGGTCATCTGAGTGAGTAAGTAGAAAATATGGCCAAGGGATGGCCTGGATGCTTAAGAGCCTTGGCAGCAGTCTGTCTCTTAATTCCAGAAGCCCAGAAACTAATTCTTGTCTGGCCCCTGACCATATTCACTCCTCATGATCTGGGAGGACTCCTAACCTCAAAAGGGGGACTGTGGCTGTCAGATAACAGACTGCTCAAATACCAGGCTCAGCTCTTAGAATGTCCAGATATAAGTCTCCGAGTGAGTTCAGCTTTAAATCTGGCATCCCTTCTCCCCACAGAGGGCCCAATCACACACTCATGTGAGGAAGTACTAGCTGAATGCTACTGGCTAGGCCTGACCTCATTGATCAGCCACTCCAAATCCAGACCTCACCCTCTTCACAGATAGGAGCTCATCAGTCCAAGTGGGAATGAGATGGGTGGGGGTAGCTGAGGTGTCTCTCACTCAGACCCTATGGGCTGAGCCCCTGCCTCCTAGTGCCCATTTGGCTGAGTTGATAGCTCCCACCAAGGCGTTACAACTATCTCAGGGAAAAAGTGCCAATATCTATATAGACTCTAAGTATGCCTTCCTGGTCCTTCATGCCCATGCAGCTCTTTGGAAAGAGCGAGGATTACTAACTACCACAAGATCTCCCATTAAACACTCTCAAGAAATCCTAGACCTCCTAGAGGCAGCCCTACTCCCAAAGCAGGTGGAAGTAATTCATTGCCCTGGGCACCAATGATCTGGGGATGAAATAACAAAAGGAAACAATAGAGCTGACATGGCAGCAAAGGAGGCTGCCCAAAAACCTATGTTCAAGCCCCTCTTCTATGGGAACAATCCTTCTGAACTCCATCAGAGGCTGAACAGGGGTATTGCCTTGACCATAGGGGATGGTGGATAACTCCCAAGGACAAGCTATTTCTCCCACAAAGTAGCCAGTGGAAGGTCCTCAAAACCTTACACCAATCCTATCACTTAGGGATTCATAAGACTGTCTTGCTGGCTAGTCAATTATTTGAGGGGATAAAACTTAAAGATATCCTCCAAGATATTATCAGAGGATGTAGAATTTGCCAGTGCAACAATCCCCACAACTCTGCCCTGCCTGTCCCTGGGACCCAGAGACGAGGCACACATCCTGGGGAAGACTGGCAACTTGACCTCACCCATCTGCCAGGAGACCCAGCCTGTAAATTACGCCTAGTCTTGGTAGATACATTTACTGGATGGGTAGAAGCATTCCCCTGTTCCTCTGAAAAGGCCTGGGAGGTAATTAAGGTCCTAATTAATGAGATTATCCCTAGATTTGGACTTCCCCGGACTCTCCAGTGTGACAATGGACTGGCCTTCTGAACCTAAGTCATCCAGGGGATCTCTAAGGCTTTGGGAATAAAATACAACCTCCACTGTGCCTGGCGACCTCAACCCTCTGGTAAGGTAGAATGGGTCAGTGGACTGCTTAAGAGGCATTTGTCTAAGTTGGCTCAAGAAACTCACCTCCTCTGGCCAAAGCTGTTACCACTGGCCCTAACCTGACTCAGAAATACCCTAAACTCATTAGGCCTAACACCATTTGAAATACTCTTATGGGAGGCCTTTTCTTCGAAATGATCTTCTCTTAGACACCAAGACTGCCAATTTGGTGTCCTTCACCACCCAGCTGGCCAAATTCCAGCAGATTCTTCCTGAGCTGGGATGAGATGAGCCAAGGGGAGACTCTTCCCCACCGTTTTGCCCAGGCGGTATGTATGGTCTTAGTTAAACTTCCTCATCCCTCTTGTGGTCTCTCTGAAGTTCCTTGGGAGGGGCCATACCTGGTCCTGTTATCTACCCCCACAGGAATTAAGGTTGCTGGACTGGATTCTTGGATTCACATCTCCTGAGGCAAATGTTAGGCACTGGAGCCTGATGAGCACACCCCAAAACCACACTCAGCTCTGCTAGCCTACTCCTGTGAACCAGTGGAAGACCTCAAATACCTCTTCAAAAGAACCACATCAGACACGTAACTTATGTTTCCTCTCTCCCTCTTTTTGTGGGTTGTTTACATTCTTGTTCCCCTTATCTTGAGTGTTGGTTTGTGGGTGACCTCTCCCACTGAGTGGACATGGCCCCAGCTATTGGCCTTAAGTGGCAGGTACTGATCCTGTGTGCCCTGTTCCTCATGCTCCACTTATTCTTATAATCTGTGCCTTACTCTGTCCTGTAACAATGGATTCCTACCCTCTGCAAATGCAGAGTATATCATCCCCCATCTTGGGGTAACTGAATTATGTGTCAAACAAGGACCCACTCTCTGCCTCCACAAGGGACAAACCTATATAATGGGACCACACTGGGACTCTTGTTACATCTGTTATCCAGCTATGCCTCCTGGAGGTCCAGTTCCAGCCCCTGTCCCTCTTCCTCCATGTGTAACGACCCTCCCTTCTCCTCCAGTTACAGTCACATCTCTTGACAATCAAACCCCAGCCCCTGTAGACCCACCACTGCCACAGTGTCCCTGCACATCTGCCTGTCCCCACATGCCACAAAGATGTTACAAAACAGAGTCCTTTCCTGTTATATAAACGGAAACTTAACAGCTAACAGCCATTGGGGTTATGCAGATCCAGTTTGTCCTATGGTGACAGGCCCTGTCTGCTGGGTGTCTAACCCAAATGATGGGCTTTAGGACTTATGACTTAGACCCCTGGATGTACAGACTACTTGATGCCACCCATTATCTCTAAACTCTACAAATCCCTCTTTAGCTGAAAACTGCTGGCTATGCCTTTCCCCAAGTGTCTCACAGGTATTGGCTACTCCATGGGCTCACTTGGAACTTCGTCAGGTGAAATATCAGAACTTCCCCTGCCAAGACCTGATGTTACCAAGACCTGATGTTACCAGAGTGAAACTGACCCATCTGGCCCCTCAATGCTTCCATGGGTCAAGGCCACTAGGAGAGATTCCTAAAGAGCTTTGTGTTAAAATAACGCTAACAACTGATCTAACATTTTGTCCTCAGTGTTCACCCTATCCTGGAACTTATTTTGTTTGTGGAACCACAGCCTATGCTTGCCTGCCTCCTGATTGGAGGGAAATCTGCACTCTAGCCCTTCAACCCCACAAATCAATATTATACCTAACAGCCCATCTCTTCCTATTCTTCTAGTGGCCTACACGGCCAAAAAGGCTGTCCAAATTATTCCCCTACTGATAGCTATGGGGATCACAGCTGGAATAGGTACTGTTATTGGGGGCATCTCCTTGTCAGTCTATACCTATCAAAAGCTGTCAACAGACTTTAATACTGACATAGAATGGGTCTCATAGTCCTTAGAGGCTTTACAAGACAGGGTAGATTCACTCGCGTCAGTAGTGCTCCAAAATAGACGTGCACTTGACCTATTAACTACTGAAAAGGGTAGAACATGCCTTTTCCTAAACGAGGTGTTGCTTTTATACTAACACATCTGGGGCGGTCAGACACATGGCCTGACAGTTACAAGAACGCATTACAAAAAGGAAACAAGAGCTAGCCAATTTGTGGTCCTTCTGAAACAATATATGGAGCTGTGCTCCTTGGCCACTACCTCTGGCTTGCCCCCTTTTTATGCTCCTTTTAATACTCCTATTTGGGCCTTGTATAATAAATGCTCTTTCCAATTTTATATCTTGACAGGTACAAAAGATAAAATTCCAGCTCTTAGTTAGAGAATACTCACCTCTGCTGACGCATGAACCCTCCATCTGGTTCTATGGGAGTCCCCTGGAGGCCACATGGGTCAACACCTCAGACAAGTGCCCCCTGCATCTCCCCTTCCTCTTTTGCCCCACTGTCACTAGGAATCAGCTAATGAGTCGTCACCCCTTTTCCCCCAACAGCAGAGGGGGGACTTGGGTCTGGGGGATCAGAAGACAAAATGAGCCAGTGCCCCCATCCCCCATGACAGCACTATGGGCCCCACATCCTATAAAGGGATGGATAGTTTCACAAGTCATGGCCCCTGGGGATGCCTCAAAATGCCACAAGGCTGATAAGCAGGAGGCATTCGCAGAACTGTGTATATGTTCCTGCAGAGGGATGTTAAGAGACCACTCTGTGCCTGACTCCTGCACCTCCCCTCCCCAACAGAGTGTGTTTCTACAAAGATATATCAAAAGGCCACTTCACCCCTGACTCCTAACTCTTCTCCCCAACAAAAAGGACCAAATAACAGCCTCCCTTACCACGTGAATGACAGGGAGCTACTGACTTTCCGGCTCCTGTCCATCTCTAAGAGCAGCTTTTCCTTTCTCTCTAATAAATCTTACTTGAGTGCTGACCTTGTTATCTCATGAGTCAGTCTCACTGGCCAATTCTTTGGCGAGTGAAGGTAAGGACCTTCGCCACCAGCCTGCAACACTATTATTTTGAGTTGATTTTTTTTTTTTTTTTGGTTTTCTGCACATGGTAATTGTGAATTCAGTATCTCAGACTATTTTTTGTTTTTGTTTTTTTTTTTTGTAAGAAATGATAACTCAGGACCTCTTTTTGAAAAAAATTGAGGAATTTTATTTTTGGTCTATCTAATCACATTAGTCATAATTCTTGTACAATGCTGGGTGAAAAGAACATTATAGATGCATTATTTTTCATCAGTTTATTACAAAAGAAAACAATTCTTGGAGACACAGTATCCAGAATTCTAATTCCTAAATCCCCTGACTTCTTTTTTTCTGAAAGGAAGCCTGCTCACCCACAACTACATCCCGACTCCTTGGCTCCTGGTTGCCCAAGTCAGTTTCCACCAACCCTGACCATAGCCAATGCAGTGGAACCCCTCTCCAAAGTGGTCGAGACCCTTTAGAAGAATTTAAATAGCTGCTAACCCATTCTAAATAAATGGTGGATGGGCTGTTCTTGCCCTAAGATAAAACCCCATGTATTGTATGTCCAAGCTTAGGTCTCTTGTTCCTGAATCTGACAGCTGGAAAATAGGGTGGAACAGTCACTGACATGCTAACCTGAAGAGTACTGTTTGGGATCCAGAGGAATCACCGTAAACAGTCAGGATGTCTTCTAAATAGCCCATAATAGCCCCTTTGGCTGTGTCTCCAGCTAGTGCCTGCACACCACTTATGTGCTTCAGGGCTGTTCTGACCATTCGGTCTCTTTCTTGTGGACTCTGGGCTGCTCCAGAGTCATCTCCCTCTGCTCCTGATTTTAAAAACTGTAGGATATAGGGCTGGACCACATCTCCATTCAGCTCAAGGGTTTCTTTGATGCAGGGCAGATCAGAGGCAGTGGCCAAGCTCAAGAGGTGAATCAGTGCCTGACAGATCTGGGTCCGTAGGCTTGCGCAGTACTTGAACTCCAGAAAGTCTGTGGTGTCTTCACTCTTCTGCAAGGCAGTGACCAATGCTTTCCAGATCTGAGCATACTGCTCTACAGACCCATACTGCTCTCTCCTGCCTGGGATGGAAAGGGCGGTGGCAGATCTGATGCGCACTTTGAAGTTCTTGCATGACATCACGACTGATGTCAGGGCATTATATGCCTGGGAGGTCCATGGCGCTGTACCTAGAAAGAATCCATAGTCACTGAAGCTAAGGAAGGCTTAGAAATAAGGGGGGTATGGTGGGAGAGGGGTGGGGGAAGCATGAACACTGGTGCTTGAGACAGTCATTTTGTATGCATTCCATTTTCACACTAATCCTGTAACATCAGGGAGATGAGGGTCTACCTGTGGGATCCCAGGGAAGTGGCTAAAAAGTGATCCCTGAGCCTCTCTCTCCTTAGACCAGCCTGAGGCAGCCCAGGGTCTCTGCTACCCAATATAGGATCTCTGGCCACTTAGAAAAAGGATGCTTCCTTAAAATCTATCTTTTTTTTTTGCAGCACTGGAGTTTGAACTCAGGGCCTCACACTTGCGAGGCAGGTATTCTATCACTTGAGCCACTACAAATAAATGTATGTAAAAGGAAAAATGAAACCTGTTGAAACTATTCCAGGGGAGGGAGGATAAAGGAGAATGATGGACAAGGTGAACTCAACTGTGATAAATTATAAGAAATTTTATAAATGTCATAATGTACCTCCAGTACAACAATAATAAAGTATAAAAAATTATTAGAACTAGAAGTAATTTGAAAAAACTAAAAAGAAAAAGGCTTCTTCTTCGGGAAAATTCTATCCAAAGGGGCAAAGCTTGATGGGAGGAGCATAGAAAAGCTGAGGCTCACCCCATCCTTTCAGCAGTGTGCAACCCATACGACTGTATGCAGCAGCCCTGTTCATGCAAGCAAAGAGCATACTTCCTCCCTGAGTTGGCCTCTAGATGCTACAATGGCCACAGAAAGTCATGCATTTTATTACTTATATTTATTTTTGTGTTGGAGATTGAACCCAGGGCCTTGCCACTGAGCTATATGCCCAGCCAAGGAAAAGAAAACTAATTTCAAGAATAAGATGACTAGACTTCTTTTTTCCAGTCCTAAAGGTCCTAGGAAATTAACTTGCTTGCTTCCTCTACAGAGCTACTACTACTCACTCTGTTTTGGGGTAACCTTATTCTTCAAGCTGGGTGACAGTATAATGCATCTTCTCCAACTCTCTGTTTCCTATGAAGAAGGTGAGCAGGCCCTTTCCATTTTTGGTGCTTCTGCCATTTACAATACATGGTCCTTGAGTCTCACATAGCCCTACCACTGTCTGTGGTCAGTTTCCTGAGTCTCTTTTCTTATTTGGCCCCTCACAGCGCTGCTTCTTCAGTGGGAAAAACCATGAGGCTATTTTCCAGCTCCTATGGGCTGCTCTTCCTGGACACTTTGGGTGAAAAAGGAAGACAGAGCCAGATTACCCTCACTTTGTGCCTGCTCTTCTTGCTGACCCAGATGGAACACACCCTTAAGTGTCAAGTCTTGTCAGAGGCCAATGCATAGCCAATGCTGGCATCCACAATGCCTGGGGCCTGGGGACTATGATCCACACACCTAAGCAGCTATTGGCCCTGGATGACATATCTAGGCTCATGGCATTCATGACAACATGACAGAGACAAATGGCCTTCTCATATGCAGCATCTACTTCTGAATTAAGAGCTCAGAAATTTTGAATCTGTACTTTCTTTTTCCCATTCCAGTTTTTCCCTATATTTTTCTTGATAAAATACAAGTTCATCATAGAAAATATAGAAAATAAAAGCAAAAAAAAATCATTCCATCCAGAGGTAACTACTGAGAATTAAGCCAATTTCCTTTCCATCTTTTTTCTACCCAGCTATCGAATTGCACACTAGCAAGGATTTAAAATCCTTTAGTGTACTTAGCTAAGTATTTTACCAGATTGTAAAACATATCTTTGTAAATGTAATTTTAAATGGCAACAAAATATCTCATTGATCATACGTATATAATGATTTATTTCATTTTCACACTTGGGATTCCAGTATGTTTCTAACTGCTTTCTAATAGTTTGACAAAAACACTGTGACGGACGTCTTTAACAACTGCATAGACTGGTGCGTGTCTTCCAAAGAGGTTCTCCCTTAGAGAGAAAAGGGTAACTTTCTTACCAAGTGGAAGAGCAGGGTTTTTAAACACATTTCCCATAGCATAACAAGCATTCCATCGGACTTTCATGGCAGCCTCAATTAGAACAGTAGAAATTAGGGCCTGGATAGACTCCTCAATGATTTCAGCAAATCTTGGTTTTTCTATATGACAGGGTTGCAGAAAATGAAGCAAATTTCCAAGGGCTCGGACTGCATTGCTTTTTACCTAGAATAAAATGTAAAAGTCTTAGAAATTTGTTTTGCCAGAGATGTTCCAGAAAGTACAATTTCTGCTTTTAAAAATTCAGGAGGCTTGGTGGACTGGCCCAAGTGGTAGCACACCTGCCTAGCAAGTACAAGGGTCTTGAGCTCAACCCCCATACTGCCAACAAAACAAAACAAAACAACGCCCAAAACAAACAAAACAAAAAAAGAGATCCTAGATTTCCCCAAGCAAGAGAGTTAATGTGTCCTAGAAGGGTGTGGAACCCTGCAAGGTCATGTTTGATTGACTTTCTGAGTCCTCTGAAGGTGAGGATCTGACAAAGCTCCTTTCCTGGATATTCAGTGCTTGTCTGCACCTCAGAGATGTCTGTCTTCTTGATTTTACAGAGATGGGCACACAGCCACACACACTAGGACTGAGAGGTCTGCAACAAGGCTAAGAGGAAGGACTAGGATTCATAACTGCAGCCTGGTCCACTCTACTAGACTAGAGCTCTCTACTTTCACAGCAGACTCATCTAGACATGTTTTGGTTTTTTTACACCAGTTCCCAGACCCCAACCCCAGAAATTCTGATTCAATTACTGTGAGGTGGGGCTTTCCAGGTGACTACCATTTTCAGAGCGCTGTAGTACCAAATTAAGCACTTGGTCTCAGCCAGGTACTGTGCTAGGTGCTGTAATGTAAGGCATCTCAGAGTGATGCATATGCAGTGACTTCCATGTTACAGGTGAGGACACTGACCTACAAAGAAGCTAATAATACACTCAGCTATTAGTGGGAAACCAGGACTTGAATCCACATTCAACAGATCTAATGCCCAGGGCTATGCATGCTAAATTTATTGTGTAATAAGAGATATTCAAAGCCAGGGACTCTATCTTTCTTACTTGACAATTCTACTTAACAGACTAATATTAAAACAAACATGAACAGATCATGTAGTATTCCAATGAGCACATATATTTTTCAGGAGACAGTTAAAAAAACTGTACGAGTATGGAGTGAGCCATATTGGATATACTCTGAGCATACCTTCCACTCCCTTAGAACATGGCAGTTTAAGACACCTTACACCTACCACCAGGCTACAACTGTATATACTAAGTATCTAATGAGAAACCCTGTTCCCTCCCCACCCCCACACCTCGCCTCATGTATGCTAGGCAAGTGCTCCTCCACCAAGCTACATCCCCAGCCCAAGACACATTAGGTTTTGTTGGGAGTCTACCTTGTCTTTGTCCTTGGAGGCTTCTATTGCTGACCTTAACATTTTTAAGAGCAGGAGACCAGAGAACTCTTCTTGGAAACTTGGGTCTGGTGTTTCCCTGTCCCAATCAAAGCACACAAAAGAGACTGAAGGAAAAGCCCACTTAAATATATATTATAAATATATATTCACTAAGTATATCTATAAAAACTTCAGGAAAACAGCTTAACAAATCTGTTCAGATTACAGCAAGAAGTCACAATATACATTTTTGTTGATAGAGTCTCTATGTAGCCCGAGCTAGCCTTGAACTCATGATCTTCCTGCCTCTGCCTCAGTCGCTTGAGGCAGAGGATCCAGGAATGTAGCTAAAGGAAATATCTCAAAATGCACAAAAAAAAAAGATTTCATGCACAAAAATGTTCATTACAAGACTAAAATAATAAGGATTTATTAAAAGTCAGTAATAGAGAATGCTTATATGTGTCGCTTATACAGTTAAGTGACAAAAAGCAGGACACCTGTGTGTGAATAACAACAGATACCTATGGGAAGGGGAGTGGGGAAGTTAGGGTAGGAACAGGTTTTATACTGAATACCACTTTGTACTGTTTGAATTTTTTTAACCTATAAATATATTATTAAAAAAGTAAAAACACTGTACTTTAAAAGAAGGATAACTATGGTTTTAGATACCTACTTTTGTATTTTCTAAAATGTGGATATATTACTTATATCAATATACAGTTTTTTATACATATATCTTAATATATTCTTAATATGTATTAAGAATAGGTTATTGACTTTATTACTTAAAGGAATACAAAATAAAACAGAAAAACTGACTATATAACATGGGGAGCTTATAGCTAATTCTTTCATAGTAGGGATGAAAGATACCCCCTTGGAACTTCAGCCTTAGCAATTACCCACAGAAGCTGGGAATGGTGGTACACGCTAGTAATTCCAGCATTCAGAAGGCTAAGGCAGGAGGATCTCATGTCCAAGGCCAGCCTGGGCTATACAGCGAGTTCCAGGGCAGCCTGGGCTATGTAGAAAGACCCTATTTCAAAACAAATAAACAAAAAAATGATGTCACCCAGGGAAAACAAGTGAGTCACTTACATGTTGACAATCAGAGTGTCTGTCAGGTTGCCTAGGGACCAGGCTGCCTTGGCACGGACATTCAGAGACTTGTCTTGAAGTGACATCAATATGGCATTTGCTGTGTCTGCAACAAATATGACGTCCTGTAAGATAAACCAAGTACTGCATTACTTTAGGAGTTCACACTGCTGCCTTTGAACTCAAATTTATTTTCATACAAAGATATAAGCCTTTATTGCAAATTTTGGTTTGTAAATCAAAATTAAATTAGTCAGTCAGTTTACTGTTTTCTTACATATTATAATTTGGACACTCAATACAATACCAAGGAAGTTCTGTGATTTTGGTATGTGCCATGGACACCCGAGGAGCCCATGGAGTTTGCTCTTGTGAACATCTTATAACCTAATCTGGGACAGTCATCTATGAATTCTGTGCCTGGGTTGATTTTCACCTCCAGGAAACAATGTTCTGACAACAAAATGCATATCCAAAACATGTTCACTACACACCTCTCAGTGAGACAAATGTCACAAGTAAGAGTAAAAGAGAGGTTCATTCCCTTCTTAGTAAAACTTGGATCATTTTTAAAAATTATTACTATCTGATGGTAATATCCCATTTCATTTTTATTTAATCATTCATTAATTTAAACATTTGCTAGACACCAACAGTTCTATACAGTGTGCTAAATCAATTAAAATTAAGTGGTGTTATCATATCTCAATAGCAATAAAGAAAACCAAATTACAAAGCAAGTTAACTTCCTTTACTGTCCAACTCAGTAGCTCTATATCCACAAAAAACCTGGTGGTATGGATTATAACAGGCACACTCTTATAATCAGGGTAAGTAGGCTCACTCTTACCTGTCTCAGACAGGGAAAAAGCACGTACACTCCTAGGGCCCGTGAAGTTGCAGCTTTCACTAAACGGTTCTTGCTGTCATTCAGGCCGAGCAACATTGTGATGCACAAAATCTGCCTGTCATTCTGTAATGAGAAGGTTGACAAAAGGAAAAGAGGGAATGAAATAACTATGAGCCAAAGTCTTCCACAAGTGACTGTGTTTAAATCCACACTTAGGAGTTGAACACCAACACCACTGTGATCTTGAGGCTATGCTGGTAAAGGCAGGTACAACTCAGATTCAATGAGGAGTTCAGCATCCACTTTGTGCAGGTACACACAGCATCTCATCACAGTTAACCTTTCAACTATGTGAGTTAGTCACTTTTATCCTTCTACTTGGTTAAAGCTGCCTCCTTTATAAAAGCTAATCTAAGAGCAGATGCAATGCCATTGAAGACTGAAGAAAAGGAGCAGTTTGAATACTGCTATGGGATGATGTTTATATCATCCCAAAATTCATGTAAAAATCCTCCCCCTGGGGTGAATATGATCAAAGTACTTTATTTATACATTATAATCATGTATGAAAACAGAATAATGAAACCCATTAAAAATTGTTTTCAAAAGGGGGAGAGGTGATAAGAGAGTAATAGAAGGGGTAAATTCGATCAAAGTACATTATCTACATGTATGAAAATATACAATGAAACCTTTTGTACAGTTAATGTATGCTTTAATAAAAAATTTAAAAAATCCCTCCCTAAAAAGGTGATGGTATTAGGAGGCCTTTGAGGGATGATTAGGTCATGAATGCAGCATCTGCCTGAGTGGGATTCCTGAGTAGGATTTAGTATCCTTACAGATAAGGTCCCAGAGAACTACTTTGCCCCGTCACCATGTGAGCTAGATGGTACTATTTATGAATCAAGAAAGCTAGTCCTCACCAGACACCACATCTGTGGATACCTTGATCTTGGACTTCCAAGCCTCCAGAATGGTTAGAAATAAATTTCTGGGTGGGGTGTGGTGGGACACACCTGTAAATCCCAGATGCTTGGGAGGCAGAAGCAAGAAGAAGTCAAATTCAAGGTCAACCCAGGCAAAGATAGTGAGACCCTCCCTCAAAAACAAAATAAAACTTAAAAAAGTACTGGAGGAGAGGCTCAAGTGGTAGAGCACTTGCCTAGCATGCAAGCACTAGGTACTGGTCCAAATCCCAGTACTGCCCCATCCCCCTAAAAAGAAAGAAATTTCTGATGTTTAGAAGTCACTCAGTTTATGGTATTTTATTATATAGAAGCCCAGACAGGCTAAGACAAATACCATATGTGTTAGGCACCAAACTTAAATTTTGTAGCATACTTTGTCATTTTTCACAATTTGCATCTTAAGATGCAAACTTTTCTAAGTTTTAGAAAAGTTAAGGTAGTCAAAGAGCTAGAAAGTGGAAGGGCTAGGATTTAAACTCAGGTCTTTTACACTCTGGATATGAAATCTCACTACCTCAGGCTGTTACTCACTTCTTACCACCTCCCTTCTGAAGCTTTCTGGACAGATTAAGATTTTACTCTAAGTTTTTCCATTTGCTGTTTGCCACTGTCCTCACCCCAAATGCAAGCAGAAGCTTCTTTCCTCAGAGATTATGTTGAAAATGGTTCAAAATAAAAAAAGAATCAAACTTGAGCTTGATGCTCAGGGCATGGTTTGAGGGTGAAGAAACAGCTCCACTTACCGGCAGACTGCTGAAGGCTTCCGGCAAGACAGAGGACAGGGCATCACAGGCGCTCGCCTGGAGAGTTGGGTGGTCTGAACTCTGCAGGGCTCGGGGCAAAGGACCATTCAGCATCATAGTCCAGAACATCACCACCTGGAACCGAGGCACAGTTAAAAATGCAGCCCAAGACACATACGGAACCAACTAAAGTTAAGCCTTCCAGATACGACGTTAGTTATGAGACATGTTTCCTTAGACTGGTAGTTTTCTGTAAATGATTGCATGAGATCTTTTCCACAGTGATGAAAAGAACTTTAGAAAATAACCAAACTCTTACATTTTATTGATTGGAAGATCACAGTATAATATAATTAAGCAGCAATAGTGATAATAATTAGGAAGAAGATAAAAATGGTGATGACAGTAACAACAGCAGAAGCTGCTATTCAGAGGGCTTATCACATGCCAGGCATTGTTCTAAGTGTTTGACATGGATCAACTCATTTTAATCCCCAGCATAACTAAATGAAGTCTATATCATTGTCCTCATTTCCACACAAGGAAACAGAGGCATACAGAGACAATATAACTTGCTAGTCAGCACCCGGGGTCATAGAATCCAGATCAACTGACACGCAGCTAGGCTTTTTCAACCTGATCCCATTTGGGCACTGTGTGGTCCCTGAACAACCAGGAGGCCATGTGTTCTAGTTAAAGAGGAGAGTTGGAACTGCATCCCTCAGCTGCCACTACCTGTCTATTCCTGTCTGCAACCTGGGTCAAGTGACTTAACCTAAGTGTTGGTCCCTCCTCCATAACAAAGGACAGAAACATCTATATTGCAGTCTGTGTCATAACAAAGTGTACTACTGTGTGCAAAGTTCCTAGCACTGGTACATGGTGGATACTCTTTAACTTGGACTGCAGGCTCTGTTTTCAGCATTTTGAAGAATTATTTTACTTCAAAGCTCCCTCAGGTAGGCAGCTGAACAATTCCTTCCTACATTTTATAAAAACTCTGGGATTTCATATCCATTTACAAATGTATCTGTGGTTGTGGCATCTACAGTTTCTGTCCTATGGACTTGGTCCTGGGTTTTGCTTTGTATTCTTGCACCAGTTCTGTCCTCTTCCCACCTCAGCTGCTGGAAACCTAGACTAGGCTTTCCCCATTCCAATCCAGAAGACTGTGAACAGGTGTGGTTGCCAGCCTCCAGGGTGGCCCACAATTATTCTCACCTACTAACTAACTGCCTCTGACTAGGCCCCTTCCACACTGAATTGGGCTGGCCTGTGTAGCCAATAGGCAGAGCTTCTGCCTTGTTCTTGCACCATCTGCTGTGGGGGAAGCTGGCTGCCATGTCAATAGGAAACTCAAGCAGCCCTGTGGCGGGAGGTCCTCACAGGGAGAAATTGAGTGAGCCTCTGTCAGCAGCCAGCACTAACAGGCTAGGTATGTGAGTGAGCCACCTTGGAAGAAGACCCAACAACCCCTGTCAAGTCTGCAGCTGACTGTAGCCCTGCGTCACATCTTTACCACAGCCTCATAAAAGACCTCTACCATCAATGCAGGGCCATGTACTCCATCCAATTCCTGACCTACAGACACCGTGTGAGAGAATAGATGTATATTGTGTTAAGCTGCTAGTGTTTAGGGTTAATTTAATTACAGGGCAGAGGACAAGTAATACAGAAAGTCTATGTCTTCTCTAGAGTTAAAAAATACCTGAGTGTGAACAGTTAAGAGATGTTCCCGCAGTCACCTGTCTAGCAAGGGGAAAAGTTTAGATTCCAACCAAGTTCCAAAGCTCAACTCATATCCCTCTGAGTGGTTACATGAAAGCTTTAGAGGCAGCCTCAGGAGGAGGCAAGAGGTAGACATTTTAAATTCACTATAAGGATAGTAGAATTGTGAACAGGTAGGATAGAAGGGCAGAAGGAGAAAACATCATCAACACTGAGTTGATTTTGCTTTTGCCTTTTTTTGTGGTGCCTCAGCCAAAGAACTGGCACAGAGTGGGGGCAACAGAAACAAATGACAGTGTCAAACTCTAACATCATAGGATTTGATAGGGATCATGGGGGAGAGATGAAGGGGTTAAAGGAATTAGCATTCACTGAGCACTATGTACCAGCACCTTTACATTTCATTCAGTTTTTTAGCCACCTTATGATTTAAGGCTTATTATTCTTCATTACAACAAGGAAACTATGCTCATAACCACACATCCTTATGTGATGTTCTTTAGACTTCATCTTATTATGCCTGCTGACTCAAAATCCCTGGCTTTTTCCACCATTTGAGTTTGTCTCTTCGGCAGGGTGAATAATCAAACTAGGCTTTATGCAAGACAAATATTGGGTTTATCATTGTTGGTTGTATGTTACATATAATCCTACTATATACTGAAATGCAGATAACACCTATTCATGTTAGTTTAATGTTTGAAACCAGTTTTTGAACCCAGGACCTCATGCATGCTAGGCAAGATATACCACTGAGTCATATCCCCAGATAGAACACTGAAAGAAACCATATCATCTACTGTACTTTATCACTGAGCCTCAAAATAAAACTGCAGTTGAAGCACTAAGAAAAGAACATTATGGATTGATGTTTACTTACCAAGAAGACTGGTACCCTCTGGTCAGGTGCTGTGGTAGAATCAGGTTTATATTGTTGTATTAAGCCTGTGCCCAGCTCTTCCAGAAGCTGCCAAGATCAAAGAAATAACTGTCAAAACAAAGCATTAGACTGATAGAGGATACAAACAACTTCATGTCAGTCTGGAGATCATCTAATATCAAGGTGTAAAGTAATTTCAAATTGATTTTCCTTCTTTTCTCACAAACCCCAATAACAGGGCTAGAGGCATAACTCAAGTGGTAGAGTACTAGCCTAGCAAGTGCAAGGTCTTGAGTTCAAACCCCAGTACCACCAACTCCGCCAAAAAAGCCCAACAACACAACAAACCCCTATAACACAGCCAGTCTTTCAAGGAGTAAAATCAACAGCTATCCATTGTTAGTTTAACAGCAAATCAGTTTATAAGTAAGAACTGACAATAGAGGAATGTATTTCTTCTGTACCTGAAAACCTCTTTAAGAAATCTCTTGGAAGGAAAAAGCATGTGGCTTGAAATGAAATTACCTTGGCTCCATGAAGCTGAATGGATGGATCTGCTTCCTCCATGCACTTGCAAATTACCTCACCAAGCTCCATCAAGTAGAGCTGCGCCACTGGAAAATAGCCCCTTGCCAGGTGAGCCAGCAACTATAAAGACAGCAGGGAATTAACGTCAACATCTGAATGCAAGACCACAATATCCAGAAAAGTGCTTCAATTAGTTCAGAAACCACTCGTGTTTAACAAGCGCCTGAAATCTGATGCTGAATGAACTGAAAAACAATCATAATCTTTATTGTATGCCTAACATCAGTTAACTGTATCATAAATTTATGATCCTTTATAGTTTGTGATTACTTTTCATTAATATTATCTCACTTAAGTTTTGGAACAATTCTCTCAGGTAGATATTAATTGAATTTACAGCTGAAGAAGCCAAGGCTGAAAAGGTAAAGGATGTGTTTAATGTTAGCAAGACCTTTGGCAGCAGCCTCCAGGACCAAGTCTCTGTCTAAGGCCATAATTGAGTATAGAAAAATCAAATACTTTTATTTGGGATTGTTTTCTTCTTTTGAAGGAGCAAACATTTTGTTTCACTAAACACATAAGACCAGAATCTGCTATAGAATTAAACATTTAACTTTAAGTTGTAGAAATAAATTAGCTGTACAATTCTTTTCAGAATTACTATTATATCCACTTGGCATATAATACTTGAGGAGATTACAATAGCTTGCACTGGGCGACCGCCTACCCGGGGACCGGTCCGTTACAATAGCTTGCAAAAGAACAAAAAGGAATAAATCAAGCTGGGCACTGTGACTCAAGCCTGTAATTCTAGCTACTCAGGAGGAGGAAATTAGGAGGATTATAGTTCGAGGACAGCAAAGGCAAAAAGTTCCTGAGACTCCATCTCAACCAATGGCTGGGTGCAGTGGCATGCATCTGTCATCCCCAGCTACTTGGGGAAGCACAAATGGGGGATCCAGGCCAGCCCTGACATAAAGTGAGTCCCTATCTCAAAAATAACCAGTACAAAAAGGACCCAAGTGATAGAGCACCTGCCTAGCAAGTATGAGACCCTGAGTTCAACCCCAGAACCACACCCCCTCCAAAAAAAAGAAAGAAAAGAAATTTAACATTTTTTTTTCTTTTATTCATATGTGTATACAATGTTTGGGTCATTTCTCCCCGCTTTCCCCTGCCCCTTCCCTTAACCTCCCCATCCCCTCTCTCTCTCCCCTCCCCCCTCACTACCAGGCAGAAACTATTTTGCCCTTATCTCTAATTTTGTTGAAGACAGAATGTAAGAAATAATATGAAGAACCAAGGGTTTCTGCTAGTTGAGATAAGGATAGCTATACAGGGAGATGAGTCGCATTGCATTCCTGTAGATGTGTGTTACCTTCTAAATTAATTCTTCTTGATCTAACGTTTTCTCTAGTTCCTGGTCTCCTTCTCCTATTGGCCTCAGTCGCTTTAAAGTATCTGCATTAGTTTCTCTGCATTGAGGGCAACAAACACTATCTAGTTTTTTGGGTGTCTTACCTATCCTCATACCTCCCTTGTATGCTCTCGCTTTATCATGTGATCAAAGTCCAATCCCCTTATTGTGTTTGCCCTTGATCTAATGTCCACAAACAAGGGAGAACATATGATTTTTGGTCTTTTGGGCCAGGCTAACCTCACTCACAATTATGTTCTCCAGTTCCATCCATTTATCTGCAAATGATAAAATTTCATTCTTCTTCATGGCTGCATAAAATTCCATTGTGTATAAATACCACATTTTCTTAATCCATTTGTCAGTAGGGGGCATCTTGACTGCTTCCATAACTTGGCTATTGTGAATAGTGCTGCAATAAACATGGGTGTGCAAGTGCCTTTGGAGTAACCTGTGTCACATTCTTTTGGGTATATCCCCAAGAGTGGTATTGCTGGATCATATGGTAGATCTATGTTTAAATTTTTAAGAAGCCTCCAAATTTTTTTCCAGAGTGGTTGTACTAGTTTACATTCCCACCAGCAGTGTAAGAGGGTTCTTTTTTCACTGCATCCTCGCCAACACCTGTTGTTAGTGGTGTTTTTGATGATGGCTATTCTAACAGGGGTGAGGTGGAATCTTAGTGTGGTTTTAATTTACATTTCCTTTATTGCTAGAGATGGTGAACATTTTTTTCATGTGTTTTTTGGCATTTGAATTTCTTCCTTTGAGAAAGTTCTGTTTAGTTCACATGCCCATTTCTTTATTGGTTCATTAATTTTAGGAGAATTTAGTTTTTTGAGTTCCCTATATATTCTTAACATTTTATAACCAAGCATACTCCTCCAAACAAAACAACAAAACCCACCTATACCTAAAGTTACAACTCCCACTGACAAAAACTTGGTTTTACACTGTTGTCATGTACCCAGTCCTCACAGTCACTCCAAGTTATGGTTCTTCCTTTCAGAGAGGAAGAAATGGAACCTCCTACCTGTAGGGCCTCCAGTCGCATAGGGGATGGTTCATAGGTGCTTCCTGCTGCAGACCCAGCATTGCTACTTGAACTTGAATCCTCCTTGGGCAGTACAACAATGGAAATGCAAAGTCGGATGAGCCAGCAGGGCTCTGAAGATCCCTTAAGTGAGCTAACTGATGCTTCTTCCAGTGAGGACCCTCCAGAGGTTTTCTTCCACCAGTCAGGAAGGATGAGGTGAGGAGTTGCTGAATTGCTATTGCTGAGTCCAGAAGAACAGGGCTGTTGTAGAAGTAACTGGACTTCAGGTAAAGGTGCATGAGTGGACACTATAGCTCCCAAGAGTGTAAGACTTGACACACGAACATTAACGTCTGTCAAAGAGAAGAGCAGAGATTATCACCATGGGAACCACTATCATAAGGATTGTAGTTATCCCTGAAAACAATTAAGAATTATTACATCCTTGTTTAATTACATCTAATTAAACTCCCAGACCTAATTTCATTTCATAGGAAATATATGGAACAACATTATAAAGAATCTGAAAATGGAGAACATTAGACAATTGACTTTGGAGTGCTCCAAAAACCAGCTATTATCAAAAAACAAAAACAAAAAAAGAGAGGATTACTTAATTAAAAAAAAAAAAAAACCTCAAGTGACATAAAAGCTAAATTAAGCTAGGCATAATGGTGCATACTGTAATCCCAGCACTTGGGAGGCTGAGGCAGTAGGATTGAGAGTTCAAGGCCTGCCTGGGCTACACAGTGAGCCTGTCTCAAAACAAAAAGAAAAAAAAAAGCTAATGTATGAACCTTGAATAACCCAGGGTTTTAAAAAAAAGTTACTTTTTAAAAACCTAAGAAGGCTGTGTCCAGATGCAAATTTCTTTGCATGTGGCTGTCTACCTATTCCAGCACCATTTGTTGAAAGGAATATCTTTGTCATAAGTCACTTGATTATATGAATGTGGGTCTATTTCCGGGTTCTCTATCTCTGTTCCATTGCTCTATTTTTCTATTCTTTTTCTAATTCTACAGGCTTGATTACTGTACTTTTATAGAGGTTTTGAAACTGGGTAGTGTCAGTTCTTCAACTTTGTTTTTCTCATCAATATTGTGTTGGCTATTCTGAGTTTTTTAGCTTTCCCTATAACTTTAGAATAGTTTGTTGATAACCACAAAACAACTTGCTGGGATTTTGACTGAGATTGCCTGAATCTATTGATCAAGTTGGGAAGAAGTGACATCTTGACAGTAATTGAGTCTTCCTGTTCATGAACATGGAATATCTCTCCATTTACTTAGTTCTTCTTTGACTTCTTTCATCAGAGTTTTAGTCTTCATAGACATCTTATATATATTTTGTTAGATTTATACCTAAGTATTACAGGGTTAGAACATTTTAATAATGAAAAGTTACTGGAATACAAAGACAATTGGAAAGGACATTTGAGACACAGTCCATTCCTCTCAGTTAAAGATACAGTAAAGAAAAACAAGTGCAGTAGAATGAGCAGGGGACTGAGTCAGGAAACCTGGGGTGTTTTAATCTTAGTTTTTCCACTAATGTGATGAGTGATCTTAAGGCAGGACTTATCTTTCTGAGTCTTGTTTTCCACACTGTGTAAAGGACTGGATTGAACTTAAGCTTACACATCAGTATTTCATTCAAGTCTCATGAAAATCTATGGAGTAGGCATAATTTTATAATTGTATAATTTATTCCTGTTTGGAGGAAATTAGGGTCCAGAGAGGGCCATGGCTATGAAATGGCATAAATGAAAGTGGACTGCAGACCTTCAAACTGACTGCAGGAACAGTGCTTCCCACAATATCACAGAAAACATCCAGACTTTCTTTTACTAAAATTCTGACTGAAAACTCAACTCATCAAAATGTGGTATGATCTGAAAGCTTGCAAACAAAAGACAAATATTTAAAAGCAGGAATTTATAATTCAGGAAATAACAAGAAAGTTAGTGGGGATCTTCTCTGAACTTCAGAGGAGATAATGTTAAAGAAGTTGGGTTTAACATTATAGTTTTTCTTCCCAACAAGGAGATATCTATCTGTCTATTCATGTGTCCATGCATGCATCCATTCATTCATCCTCCACCAAGGCATAGAGATATTATTTTACACTTGAGGGAGGTCACTTGCACTTGATCATGCTTAATTCTAAAGGGACACACTGGTCACTACCCTGAAGTATTGAAGAGATTAAGCTTCACAGTTAATTCTCCAGCTCATTACTTTCTGTTGGGGCTTGAGAGGTCAAAGTGGAATTTGAGCAATAGTTGGTACCCTTGAAAAGCTGAGAATAAGTAGAGATCTCCGACAGGTGCAAAAATACTTTAAAAAAATTTACTAATACTCTACATTTGATTGGTATAAAGAACAATTAGTTTTAAAACACTACCAACCTTTGTGGCGGATATAAGGTTTTATCTGGTTCCAGACTTTGGTCAGCAGGCTGAGTTTCAAACGGTTATAAGGTGCATTTGATACTAAATTTGCAAGGCACTATAAAACACAAAAAATAGCACATAAATTGGCCTGACTAAGCCATAGCACAGAAATAAAATTTTACACATTTGACTCAAAAGATCTTTATGTTTAATGAAAATCATCAGTCCTTTTATTTTATTTATTTATTTATTTTTGTGTCTTTCTGTTTTTTTCTTTTATTCATATGTGCATACAATGTTTGGGTCATTTCTCCCCCCTCCCCCCCCACCCCGCCCCCTCCCTTATCCCCGTCCTCCCTCCCCTCCAGTCCTTTTCTTTTAAATAGCACTTGTTTGAAACTTAATACATTGGTACAACTTAATAACAAAGTTAAAAAACTACTTTTGGTAGATCATCCAGGCATACAGAGATTACAGGTTAGATCAGACAAGTAGGTACAGACTTCTAAGTATGGTATTTTAAATTCAATTATTACTCAGTTATATTCTCAGGTCAAGTTTCTTTAGGACTATGTAAAACATTATACAAAACTGAAACAGATAGGCCCTCTCTGTAACTCACAGGTAACTTGGAATATTTACCTTGATTATCCGAGTAAGGGTCTGGGAGGAAGACTCAGCCACCAAAGCTAACAAAAGACATCTGTGCAACTCTTTAATGCTAGAAGCAATCATTACAGAGAAGGGAGTGAAGGCCCTTCTGTGGTCATTGGTATCTTCAGCAACAGAAAGAAACTGCTTTGAGCCTTCCAAGATGGCAGATAAAACTTGCAGAGCACAGGCACGTGTCTGAAATTCAGGATGATTCACACTGGTTAGTTAAAAAATCAGAAGCCAGATTCTCTTCTTGTACATATTTAATTTTCAAAGTATTTAAAATCACCTTAATTAGAAGGATAGAGGCAATGGGATTATTTATTAAGTTCTGAAAGCAGCCATTAACTAGGTGCTCTGTACCCTACACCTAAAAAAAAATCTTAAATCACATTAATGTTAGGTTTTCTTTAGTAAGGTGTAAATCTAAGTTATATCATAGCAAAAAATGTAAAATATTAAGTATGAGAATAATTTAAAGATTAGAGGTCTGGTTTATTCAAGCATAACACCAACTAAAAAGGCAGAACTATCTTTTTAGCTCATGGAGTGGAAAAAAATACACGTTTAAAGTATTCATGTAAACGTTCCTACTCTTACAATCTATTCTGAGGTATATGAATGCTCAAAGTTAAGCAAGACATTAGGACCTTTATGTGCATTTCACTTGGCAGGTTTCATTAGATCGAACATTGAGAAACACTCTTAGATGTAGGAAGTAACAGAGCCTGCAGTGAGAACATTTGGTAAAGAAAGGAATACCATTAAATATAATCTTAAGGATGGAAAAGAAAAAGGTGCACCTTTATCATGGGTTACTGTATCTGACAAGAAAATTTTTACTGCATCAAGATTTTGTCTATAAGGTTAAAATATTCCTTTCAATTGTTACTTGGATAATTTTGTGATACTAAAAATCAGAAATGAAAAAAGAAACAAAAAGAAAGCCAATTTAATCAAAATGTAGGACTATTAAAATATGGAATAATACCTTATCATCTTTGGTCAACTCACCCCAAAATGCCTATTAAGCACCTTCAGGTCAGTTTTTTCAAAGCAGGGAATCAACATCATGAGTCTATTATCTAATCTAAATATTTACTCAGCATGTCTGAGGTTGGAGTGAAAAAGGTTTTCCAAAAAGCCTTAACAATATTATCTTCAAATAACCAAGTAATAAATCACTTCTGCAGGCTTTTTGTGTAGTAGAATCACAAAAAGCCTAAGATTTATTGCTATGAAAACAGGCTCATGAATGTACCTTGATTTTGCAGAATTAAGCATAATTACTTAAGTGAGGACTCTGACAAAGCGTTAGGAAACTGTATGTGTGTGAAGAACAAGACCACAAACATAAGCCAGCTGATCTGATCTAAAAACCCAGATCAGGGGCTGGCAAACTTTTTCTGTAAAGGGCCAATAGTACATATCTTACTTGTTTTGTTTTTATTATTTATCTCCTTTTTATTAATGCATATTAATTGTACAAGGGGTTTCGTTGTGATATTTTCATACATGCATATGATGTACTTTGACCAAATTCATCCCATTACTCTTTAAAACTTTGTAGGCTATAGTCTCATGCTCACTCAACTCTGCTCTAGTAACACAGACTCTATGCAAAAGAAAAATGCGGCTATGTTCGAACAAATCTTTACTTACAGACAATGAAATCTGAATTCCACAGAATTTTCATATATCATGAAATTTTATTCTTTTGATTATAAAACCATTGAAAAGTGTAAACACTATTCTTAGCCTGCAGGTTGTACAAAAACAAGTACTGGGCTAGATTTGGTCTATAGGCCACAGTAGATAGCTGTTCTGAATTGAAAAAGGATAGATGCCTTGCTAAACATTTATTCTTTAGAAGGTAATTAAAAACTCACAATTTCTACAGTTCACAAACCAAACAAAATTAAAAGTCAAATTGTGGAAAGAAATGAACTAATGTTGAAAAAAAGTCAAAAAAATTTAGCTCAATTAACTTTGGTACCCTAAGGGGTAAAACATCCATGACTATCACAGATGAAAACAAACAAATAAAAAAAAAAAGTCACTGAAATTGGTTATGTTTTTTTCATTGAGGCATAAAGACTATATAGAAGTTTGATACTGTATCACATTATACTTTTTATTTCTGAGTTAATTGCCTTTAAATACTATTTAATATATCTTTATTATAAAGTTATTACTTATGACACTGAATCTGGTTCAAGTCCTGCTTCATTTATTCTAATATCAATATTTAATATACTGTTTACCAGTTCTAATCAGCACTTGCAGCAGAGTACTGATGTGAAAAGAAATCATAATAGGTGCAACTCTCCAGAGAGCTCATTTTGTTGATTAAGTTTCATTGTGTGAATATTTACAATAATGGATGACTTTTCAATCTTATAAACATCAGTGTACTCAGTTTACCAGTGTGTAGTTTCACCAACATGGACATGAAGGCTTGTCTAAAGCTAATAAAACAGAAAAGTCCTTTTCCTTTTTTGCTTTTACTTAAGCATACAGCAGAAATGTTTGCTGAGGTAGCTCAATTTATTTATTTTTTCCTTTTTATGTGTCTATGGTCTCAGAATACTACTAGAAGGATGATAAAGAAGTCCCTGCTGGGGTACTACTAAGGGTCTATGCAGGGCATCAGGCTGTGCTCTTCTTTGTCTATGTCCAAGTTCTGACTGTTTTGCAGCACAGGGGATGGCACCTATGCCTTGTGCATGCTAGGCAAGCACTCTGTCACTGAGCTACATCCCCAGCCTCGAGCAGTAGTTATTATTCATATATTTCAGGATTAATTTTATTGAATCACATTCCCAAAGTTGGTTGTCAGTTAAGTGGAGGCATTGGAACACTGTCAGGGCCTTTAGATTTGAAGACATCCAAGTAAAGGTTATCTGTTCCTGATTGACTACAGAATTCTAACTTTTTCATTTTCTTTTCTAGTTATATTATTGTCTAGATTTTGATGTGTTTCTACCTTTCACAGTTATCTAAAAGACAAATTAAAAAAATCATCATGGAATTTGAAAATCAGGATAATTCTCAAGGTGATCTGAGAAATTCTACCCTATAGTTTATTTCTTAGATGAAAATGTTAACGTAAGTCCATAATACGCCTTTGTAACACCTGAGAAAATCATATAGAAGAAATTCTTACATCAGTCATGTTACTTTATTCCCCCCAGTTCTGGGATTGAACCCCAGGGCCTTGCACATGCTAGGCAAGAAGTCTACCAGAGCTACAGCCCCAGTTCATCATGTTACTTTTTTTGACAATTTGCTGTCCTTCTTGGAAACATGTAAGATGTGCTTTCTGAAGCACGTTTCCTACATGGACATGATAATTTCCCAAGTACTACCACACTACCAACTTCTAATGAAAATTTCTAAGATTTCTTTTTCCCAATTAATCATTCTAGCATTTCATTTTCCAGTTCCCTGAAATTTTTCTGTCTACTGTTGGTACTTTGACTGAAAGAATTCAGTTGCCTTTTCTTCTTCCATTTCTCATTGCATTTTTGCCCATGACTTTCTAGACATCTTCATAAGACTGTCTCTTACCAGCATCACTCACTAAAACCTCTTCCAGCAGGTATTTTTGTACACAATTAATTACACACTGAATAGATTGTAGAGGAATAATCCAAACCTTACAATGTTCATCATACTTATTTATATCCTCCCAAGCTTATATTTGATTGAAAAAAACCAAACAAACTTTTTTTGGTTTGAACCCAGGGCCTTCATGCTTGCTAGGCAGGCATTCCTACCACTTGAGTCACTTTGCCAGCCCTTTTTTGTGATGTGTTTTTTAAGACAGGGTCTGTGATCCTCCTGATCTCTGCCTTTGAGTAGCTAGGATTACAGGTGTGAGCCACCAGTGCCCAGCTAAAAAAAATCTCGAGTACAATAATTTCATTTACCATTATACAGAACTGACTAATTTTAATCATTTCTTTGATCTTTTTTTTAAAGACGAATTTTTCCATTTCTTCAGGACTTTCATTAGGCTTCTGCACTAGAATCATGACATCTCCAGAAGGAAGTTCTGTATCTTTTTTTCTCACTACATTTCATGCACTCATTGAACTTAAACAGCAAGAATATACCTAACAGGTACCCAAACTGAGGAGGTGAATAAGACCACCATGCAATATGTAAGGTTTCTCATGGCACTTTAAGTCAAATGCAAATATCTTAAAAATATAAATATAATGAAAATTATTTCAATTCATTTTCAACAGATGTGATCTTACAACCTCTCTATTTATGTCCTACATCCCCTTGGTGGGCAGCCATAGGGCAGAGGGGGTTAACTTGGACTGCTACTTGCCTCATAGCATCATTTCCTTGGCCACTCCTGGCAGTTTTCTTAGCTGGAGAGCCTTCAAATATATATTAAAAATCTTTACAGTAGTTTTCCTTTCAATAAGTAGAATGGCTTCATTGCTGATACATCTGCCACCATTCATTTTCCATTTTTCTCAGGTTCTCATTCACTACTGATTCAGTGAAGCCTCAAAATTTCTGTTAGTTTAAGTACTTAGGATACTGGCATTTGAATATAACACAAGATTTTCTTATATATGTGTGTGTGTGTTTATAGTCAAGACTAACTTAAGTTTTTAAAGGGTCATCTATAAGTTTTTAATATAGTAATTAGCTATTCAAGGAGATGATCATAGGATGTTCCAATCTATTGTAGATTACTACCACTCCTCCTCTTAGGGAGAAATCTTAAAAAGAGGAATATCCTACTGGCCTAATTAAAATTATACAATTCCAGAGGGAGGTTGGGTTATCTGAGCACATCACTCAGCATGACTTTTAAAAATTCATTATTATAAGGGCACTACAATTGCAGACTATTTTCCTTATTTGGATAAGTAGTTAACTTCTAGAGAGGAATTAACACATCCTGGCAGAGGCAGGTAACTTGATTAGCCATGGGATATCTTACTGTAGCTACCTATGACTGCCAATTTTTTTTATTCTTTTTTTAAAAATAAGTTTTTCTCATTAAAATATCATTTTTGGGGGGGTTGGGGAAGCAACAGAGTTTGAACTCAGAACCCTGTGCTTGCCAGACAGGCACTCTACCACTTGAGCCATGACTCCAGCCCTAAAATATGTAAATATTTAATACACATGATTTAATAAAATATGGAAAAATTGAAATAAAAAACATATTGTTGCAACCCTATTAAATATACAATTCTGTATCTTGTATTTTCACAAAATATTATGAGCATTTTTCTAAGCCTTATATACATCCTTTAGGACCATTAAGTACCATAATATTCTATTGAGTTCTTAAAGCCATTTCTAATTTTTTTCTATTATAAATACCACAGCAACCAACATTTTCATAAAAGGAAGGGAAAACACTGGGCATAACTTAGTGCACTCAGGCTTCAAGCAAGCCCCTGGGCCAGAAGCCATCTTTATCAGATTTCCATCAAAGTGTTATTCAGGGAAGCCTGTATCCAACTCTCTTCCTGCCTATTCAGTGGATCTTAAGTCAGGACCAGGATCACTATTAATAAAAGCAGTACTCAGACAAGATTGAATAAGAGAATAAAACCCAAGATGTGTGCAGTTTCTTCTCCTATCATACATCTCAGAGTTTAAATGTTCTTACCTTTGGAGAAGGATCTTTTAATATAAGGGTCATTAAAGACAAAGACTGTGGACTTCCAACCTCAGGTGTGTCGGGAACAAAGGCTGACCAGTAGCCACAAAGAACTCTTTTTTCTATTGATTTTACAGTAGACAGAAAGCAAGCTAGTGCTCCTTGGCGAACTTTGGCTTGGTATGACCTTTCACATCCAAAAGAAGGAAGAAAAAAAGTTTTAAACATTTTTTAAAAAATTCAAGTATGAAATTTTATTCTAGTCAATTAAAATGATACACTGAGAAATTAAACATTATCGGCAACCTCTAAAGATATTATTATGATATTAAAAAAAGGTTTTTTTTTTTTCTTTTTCAAAATATCATCAAAATATGTTAAGGCAATTTGCCGATATAACTTTTTCTTTTCCTTTTCTTTTTCCAGCACTGGGGATAAATTCAGGACTTTGTGCTTGTTAGGCAAGCCATGCCCTCAGTCCTATAACATGGTGTTAAGGCTGGCAAAAAAACAAAACAAAACAAAACCATAAAAAGATAGTGAATTAGAAGGCAACATTTTGGTGCTAACAAAGTAATATTAGATATGAAACACTGCAGGGTATCCATCCATCTATTCAACAACAAACATATCCCCTAAATGACCTGACGTAGACATTATGCTGAGGAGGACAAACATAAACAAAGCCTCTGCCCTCAACAAACTTAATGGCAGTGAGAGTTCAAGAAATAACTGTAACACATTCTGAATAATATAAGGGCAGAGGTAAGGCAAAGGGTCACTTAGGAGGGCTAGAATGGGCAAGAATTTGAAAAAGGTTTTCCAGAGAATATGATTTCTGAGCTCATTTTGAAGATGAGTAGTAGTTAACAAGAAAAAAGGCAAAAAAAAAAAAAAAAAGAAAAAAAGAAGTAAAGTAAGGAATATTCTAAGGAGAAGAGCAAAGCATCTTAAAAAAAGCCTCAATTAAGAAAAATCTTCAAGTTTAATCACATGCTGCAGTCAGCTTTTAAAGCAGTTATAAAATACATGCAACCTAGAATATAAGGTATAAATGTATCAAAATATTACTACCTCATTTTACCCTGCATGCCTCCTTCAGCGTCAGAATAGTCTGACTCACTACTGCTGACTCTTTTCCAACTGGAAGGAACAAAGGGTGAGGAGACTTGTTCTTTTTGTGCAGCTCCATTTCCTTGGGAGGAGGAACACTGTGTATTCCTCTCACCCATGTTCACTCTGCTTGTGCTGGTACCTGAGGCTGCTTCCATTTCACCACTAGATTCTTCTTCTTCCTCCTCCTCTCCTTGCTGGGTTTTCTTTTGTTTTACTTTATGTTTTTTCTTTTTACTCTGATTTAGGAATAAATGAAAGACATATTTGATAGCTATTTCAAAATGACTTTTAATGGAATCACTGAAAAAATGTCTATACTCCCAAAAGTAATCTACATGTTTAATTCAATTCCCATCAAAATTCCAATGACATTCATTAAAGAGATTGAAAAATCTACCGTTAAATTTACATGGAAACACAAGAGGCCACGAATAGCCAAGGCAATACTCAGTCAAAAGAACAATTCAGGAGGTATCACGATACCTGACTTCAAACTATATTACAAAGTAATAATGATAAAAACAGCATGGTACTGGCACAAAAACAGGTATGAAGAACAGTGGAACAGAATAGAGGACCCAGATATGAAGCCACACAACTATAACCAACTTGTCTTTGACAAAGGAGCTAAAAATATATGATGGAGAAATAGCAGCCTCTTCAACAAAAACTGCTGGGAAAACTGGTTAGCAGTCTGCAAAAAACTGAAACTAGATCCATGTATATCACCCTATACCAAGATTAACTCAAAATGGATCAAGGATCTTAATATCAGACCACAAACTCTAAAGTCGATACAGGAAAGAGTAGGAAATACTCTGGAGTTAGTAGGTATAGGTAAGAACTTTCTCAATGAAACCCCAGCAGCACAGCAACTAAGAGATAGCATAGATAAATGGGACCTCATAAAACTAAAAAGCTTCTGTACATCAAAAGAAATGGTCTCTAAACTGAAGAGAACACCCACAGAGTGGGAGAAAATATTTGCCAGTTACACATCAGACAAAGGACTGATAACTAGAATATATAGGGAACTTAAAAAACTAAATTCTCCCAAAACTAATGAACCAATAAAGAAATGGGCAAGTGAACTAAACAGAACTTTCTCAAAAGAAGAAACTCAAATGGCCAAAAAACACATGAAAAAATGCTCACCATCTCTAGCAATAAAGGAAATGCAAATTAAAACCACGCTAAGATTCCACCTCACCCCTGTTAGAATAGCCATCATTAGCAACACCACTAACAACAGGTGTTGGCGAGGATTCGGGGAAAAAGGAACCCTCTTACACTGTTGGTGGGAATGTAGACTAGTACAACCACTCTGGAAAAAAATGTGGAGGCTACTTAAAAAGCTAGACATTGATCTACCATTCGATCCAGCAATACCACTTTTGGGGATATACCCAAAAGACTGTGACACAGGTTACTCCAGAGGCACCTGCACACCCATGTTTATTGCGGCACTATTCACAATAGCCAAGTTATGGAAACAGCCAAGATGCCCCACCACTGACAAATGGATTAAGAAAATGTGGTATCTATACACAATGGAATTTTACGCAGCCATGAAGAAAAATGAAATGTTATCATTCACTGGTAAATGGATGGAATTGGAGAACATCATTCTGAGTGAGGTTAGCCTGGCCCAAAAGACCAAAAATCGTATGTTCTCCCTCATATGTAGACATTAGATCAAGGGAAAACACAACAAGGGGATTGGACATTGAGCACATGATAAAAGCGAGAGCACACAAGGGAGGGGTGAGGATAGGTAAGACACCTAAAAAATTAGCTAGCATTTGTTGCCCTTAACACAGAGAAACTAAAGCAGATACCTTAAAAGCAACTGAGGCCAATAGGAAAAGGGGACGAGGAACTAGAGAAAAGGTGAGATCAAAAAGAATTAACCTAGAAGGTAACACCCACGCACAGGAAATCAATGTGAGTCAATGCCCTGTATAGCTATCCTTATCTCAACCAGCAAAAACCCTTGTTCCTTCCTATTACTGCTTATACTCTCTCTTCAACAAAATTAGAGATAAGGGCAAAATAGTTTATGCTGGGTATTGAGGGGGTGGCGGGGAGAGGGAGGGGGCGGAGTGGGTGGTAAGGGAGGGGGTGGGGGCAGGGGGGAGAAATGACCCAAGCCTTGTATGCACATATGAATAATAAAACAATAAAAAAAAATGGAATCACTGGCACTTCCTTGCTTGCAAGTGATTAAATATCATCAATATGTAGAATGAAAAAAGAAGAAAAAAGCAGAAAGAATATCCTGTGTCAGGTACAATGTTAAGTGCTTACACATTCCCTACTGTAAAAAACAAGGCATGAAGTCTATGCAACAAAGCAAAACATGTGGTCTGGATTTAAATTCTACTTCAGTGACTCTAGGCAAACCATTTAGCCTCTCTGAACTTGACCTTCCTCATTTGTAACCCACCTTGTACAGCTGTAGTGAAAGCATTCAGTCCTCTCAAGAGATTTCACTAGAGAATTAAAGCCTATAGAAAAATGACTGGAGTGTCTATTTTTTCAGTTGTCCCAAATACAATACACAATCAGTACCTCTCTATGCTTGCTCAGGAGACAGTAACCCATTACACACAAGGCATGGGCCCTAGGACCTTGGAGTTATCTAGTAGCAGATACTGTTAAAGACAATTTCTTTCTTTGTTTCTGACATTCAAATACCTTTGGAATCCTCTACATTCCTCTACATATCTTCCTTCCTCTACATTCTCAGTTTCTAGTCTTGAGGAAGGAAGGTTCTCATCTCTTCTACCCTGGAATACTTAAAAGTGGTCCAGAACCATGCTCTTTTACTTGCTACCATACTGGTTTTTCTAAGATGCAAATCCGATCATATCATTCTGCTATGTAAGATTCTTCTGTTGCCTACAAGATAAACACCCAAGCTCCTTAGAATACTGTGTAAGACCCCTCCACACACCTGAAACTCTAGCCCTACTAGGTAATATACAGCTACACATGCTCTTATTGTACTTTTTGTTTCCTCAGAACAAAGCACTCTTCCTCCCTTCTCTGTCCTATTACTCATGCTTGAGTCTCAGTTTAGTTACCACATCTTTTGAAAGGCCTCCTTCTAGAGCTGGGGAAATGGCTCAAGTGGTACAGTGCTTGCCTAGCAAGTGCAAGGCTCTGAGTTCAAACCTTAGTACTGCTAACTTTTTTCTAAATAAAAAATATAAAGCCTCTTCTTCCTCCTCTATTTAGACTGGGTGCCCTGAATGTGAATATTTTGATGAAAAAAATCATAATATTGCATTGTAATTATTTATCTACCTTTTCCTTCTCCCCTAAACTCCTAAGAATAGCCAGTACCCTTAATGCTTAGTTCAATGTCTGGGATATAGCAGATGTTTGGTAAATGTTGAATAAATAAATAAATAAATGAGAGAATCGCTAATTTTAAGCATTTTTTGACAGGCATTACATTTCTGGATGTAAAATCTTGGCTACATATCTGTACACCCCAGGTTCTCCCGTGGAAACTGAGGGAGATAGCAGCTATCTGAAAGGCTGGGAAATGTGATGAATGGAAGAGTGTGGAGCTAATGAGCTGACTGGTCTACAGAAGGGCTGCCAAATTATGGCCCAAAGGCCAAATGCAGCCCAGCCTGCAGTCTGTTACTGGAACAAGGCCATGCCCATCACTTCCCACAGTGTATCTCTGGCTGTTTTTGCAATTTGATGACAGGGTTGGTACTTGTGACAGAGACCTAAAACATTTACCAGCCAGCCCTTTACAGAGAAAGTTTATTGATCCTTCTTGGTCTTGAGAAGTCGAGAGATGAGGATACTTGCCTTTGGATATAAAGTGAACGCTCATTTTTGTAGTTGTTACTTGCCTAGACTTCTTAGAAGCATAAGGTGATTTAACTGGTATTTTAAGCAGTCTGATAAATTTAAATTTTCTATGCTAACTATACTAAGTTGAAGTGAACTTCGAGGTGGGCTTTTGGGGCAGTAGTGGTGCCAATCATAGAAAACACACAGAGAAAGCTATTCCAAACAATCTACAACTTAAATCTAAATACACTAAACGTACCATAGTTGGTCCAGAAGTGCTGGATTCTAATGGCTGTGGTTTGACAGGTGGTCGCCCATCATATTGAGGAAGTGGAGTTGGGTATAACACGGTGGGCATCTCTATGTTTAGTCCAGGGAGTCCATGGAACATGGCTTTCTAATAGTGACAAATAAGGAAACACACACAAAAAAACATAAATAATAATACACAATTATTCAGCATGTTCTGGCAGAACATAAACAGATTTATGCTTAAAAGACTGTTAAAGGCCAGGCATGGTGGTACACATCTATAATCCTGGCACTAGGGAGGCAGAGGTAGGCGGATCAAGAGTTCAAGGTCAGCCTGGGCTACATAGCAAGTTCAAGGCCAACCTAAACTTATAGTGAGATTCTGTCTCAAAAAAAAAAAAGAAAAAAGACTATTAAAGAATAAAAATGGGACAGAAATAGATACCCTGAATAAACCTACAAGGGTTTAAAGTTAGCTTACTCTCATCTAGCTTCCAGCTGGATCTGATTTGGTCACATCAGATTAGGTTTGGTTTTAGTGTATTTATTATTTTTATTTACTTATTTTATCCAATCATTTTTATCCAGTTATTGTATCTATCTATAATCCTTTTAAATCAAGTTATTGTTTTTATTCAGTTATCTATCTCCACATCTAGTTATCTGTCTCTGTTTGATTTGGGATTAAGAGAAATACCACAGAGAATTAAAACTTTAGTCATAATTGTCACCCATGGCATTCATTTGAGGTGAACACAAAACTTCTTACTCCTTTCTGGCTGAAGTGAAGATAGCTGGGTCCGCAAAGAGGTGACTTGACTTTCCCATTGCCTGGCAGACTCAGAAGCTAACAAGGGCAACCTGCTGGAACACGTCTTGATCAGCCTGCCCACTCCATGAAGGAGAATGCCAGGTGGAAGCTTTGGGTCTTCTTTCAAGTGCAAATAGGTAAAAGTAGTCAATATAATCTATACTTAAGCTATTTATAGATCATATCTTACAAACAATTTCTTTAAATTTCTGATACATTTATTTAATTGAGGTTTTTTTGTGTTATTATGCTTGAACATTAACATTGTATTCTGTTTCCTAAAATATATACAAGAACTTTCCCTTCTTTTCTATTTTTTGGAAGAGTTTGAGAAGGATTAGTATTAATTCATCTTTGAATGTTTAACAGAATTTACCAGTGAAGTGATCTGGACTTACTTTTCATTGTTGTGAGGCTTTAATTATATTATCATTATTATTTTGGTAGTACTGGTGTTTGAACTCAGGGCCTTGTGCTTGCTAACCAGGTGCTCTACCACTTGAGTCATGCCTCTAGCCCAAGAACTTCCAATACCTTAAGCTAGCCTTAGAACAATGATGTAAAGTGGTCCTCAGGCCTGGGGTTTAAATAGGTCATAACAGATCATGATGGGAACTCGCCTTACCTTTAGCACAGCTAGAAGAGCTCCAAGTTCATCAGTCTGGGTCAGTTTCATCTTCCCACCATTGAGAAGTGATTGTATGCCTTTTAATGCACTCTGTAACAACTGGAGAAAAAGAGACCAAGTTAAAAGGTAGAATAAAATTTGGCTGTCTAGGGATCAACCTTTTAGCACTACTTGGGACAGAAAAAAAAAAAAAAGTCTCTAGATGATGGAAAAAAAAACCCCAAAAACCCTTTGAAACACACTTCCAAAGTAGATGAAGATCCAGAGGATGGAACTGATGAACCACACTGAGTTATTTTCTAGAAAAGCTCTTATTGAATGGTCTGACTGGACATGCTTATAAATGAGCATGTAAAAATGATGAGCAAGAACAAAAAAAAATAAAGGAAGAGACAGTTAGTGGGAAGAATGTGATAAGGACTGGAAAAGTGGCAGCAGAGATCAGAAGTGGGGAAACTCTATAATAAGGCAACCGCAGCAAAGGCACAGATGTAGGAGCAGTGGCTAAATGATAAAATGGGGCTTCTGGAGGGCAATTCTGATCAAAATTGATTTCTTAATTCAGCAATCTCATTTCTAGGTCTCTGTCCTTCAGAAATTCTCCCCATAGGATGTGAACTACAGCCTTATTTGAAATAGTGGAAAAATTGAAAAAAAAATTGATTTTCATCAATTATAATGATAATGATTATCTAAGAAGCTAACCCTCTACTATGTGTAAAACTCAACACTAGTAATAGTAGGTACTTTGTCAAGTACTTTTTTTCTTGTGGTACTGGAGTTTGAACTCAGGGCCTTGTGCTTGCTAGGCTGGCGTTCTACCACTTGAGCCATGTTCCCAGCCCTTTACTTCTCATAAGAACTCTACAATGTAGTTATATTAGTCCCATTGTAGAGAGGAACATGGAGACTCTAAGATGTTAAATGTATTTGCTTAAGGTCTGCCAGCTATAGCAGTTACAAAGCATAAGGTATACTAACAGGTAATAAAGATATCCAAGAGACATTAAGATTTTAAAAACCAAGAAGTTACAAACAGTATATTAAATATGATTCCATATAAAAAAAAATATGCCCATTCATATATGCAAAAAAAATCAGAAGGCCCATAGAATAAATTGTCTTCAATGATTATATCTGAGCAGAGGACATTACAGATCTTGGATTTGTAGTGTTTGAAATGTGTCATTCTGAATTTAAAATGTTAACAAATTGTCATATTTGCATCAGATTTTTTAAAAAATGTTGTTGAAATTCACTTTCTTCCCTTTCATCTTAATCATTAGCCTAAACTGTATTGCTTTTACACTGAGGAAAAAAGAATAGAGGTAGTTTTTTATTTTTTAAAAAACCTAGAATAGTAAAACAAAACCCAAGCAAAACAAAACAAATGAATAAAAACCAGTTTCTTTCTTTCTTTTTTGGTGGCACTGGGGTTTGAACTCAGGGGCTTGTGCCATGCCTCCAGTCCAAAAATCAGTTTCTTATAATTTAAACCAAAGGCATGACTTCAGTCTTTTTGGTTTACAAACATTCCATTTATGCATGTATCTTTGTAGACAAAACTAATACAGCAGCCAAGTTAAGCTCTGTGATAACAGCCTCTGCTCTATTCCTGCTTCAGACATGTCTGTAACATTTGTAAGATCAGTGATAGTCTCACCTACCAAGCAAAATGTTATATCATCCATCTCAGACGATTTTGGAGACTGTAAAGTGGTCAAGAAAGCTTGGAAGCAGATATTTTGATAGGATTCCTCCAAGTACGGCTGTCCTGGCACACTAAAACACACGCAGGGAAAACAACTCAAACTGTCTCTTTTCAAATGGCATTTACAAAAGAAAAAGAATTAAAAATAGTAATGATATATACTAAGAAAATTGGAACATACCTTTGAATACAGTTACACTATGGAAAAGCTGTGCAGTTTGGCTAATTAGTTACTGCTATGGGACAGGCACAGGCTCAAATAAATGTGAAGAAGGGAGAGTGGTTTCCATAAGGAAAAGTCATAGAAACTTACAGAGGAATAAGTATGGAGAAAGAGAAATATTTTTAGTAGTGCTTTTCAGTGCTAAGAGGGAGATAGTGCAGACAGGTCCTGCTGAGTTAGAATTAGTTAGAACCTGCCTTCCTAGCCACCGGGCAACATTGTGCGATGTAGAGACAAGTTCAAGTTTGTGCTGCTCATTTTCTATTGCATCTTGCAGATTGGCTCCATTCATTTTCTTTCTTTCTTCTTTTTTTTTTTTTTTGGTGAGACTGGGGTTTGAACTCAGGGCTTGCAAAGCAGAAGCTCTACCACTTGAGCCACACCTGCAGTCCATTTTGCTCTGCTTATTTTTGGAGATAGGGTCTTGTGAACTATTTGCCTGGGCTGGCCTTGAACCATGATCCTCATGAACTCAGCCTCCCAAGCAACTAGGATTACAGGCAGTGGCTTCATTTTCTTAAAAAAGAAATGGGCCTTGACATATAAATCTCATCGGAGTTCAAATGCATATGAATATACCTTCAAAAAGACTAAATATGGCTAGAATGTATACCAGTAGGAAAAAAACTTTAACATGTTGCACATTATTACTTTTAGATTGTATTTTTCCCCTTTATTTCCTAATAAAGTATATTTCATAATATGCTTTCCTTAGTTAAAAACAAACCACATAAGATGACGAGAAATGCAAAGTCAGTTATTTTTCTTTGTTTTTGTTTTGAGAAAGGGGTCTCATTATGTAACCAAGACTGGCCTTGAACTCAAGATCCTCCTGTCTCAGCCTCCCAAGTGCAGGGATTACAACCCTGCATCACAATGGCTTATATTTCTACATTGGCTCTGATTTCAAATAGAGCAACCTACAAAAAGCTCACCCAAGAGAGGTCATCTTCTTGGGAAGACTGGAAACCTGACTGTATCCACATACCTGAGACATAAGTTTGCCATACAATGCACTGCAGCTCTCCTGACTTCAGCATCAGACTGAGCCAAGTCACTCAACTTCAACAAGAGGCCAGTCTTGCCTAGCAAGTCCGGGAGGTACTAAAACAAAATAACAGCAATACTGATCTGAGAAAAGCTTCTAGAAAATATTACTCATTAGACAGATTTTATTTTGTAACTAATGGGCAGTTGAATATCAAAAGATTAATTATTAACTAGTAGTGGAGAAAATGAAGTGCCATGGGTAGGACTCATAGCTGGTTTCTGTCACACAGTAAAAAAGTACTATTTCCATTGTTTTTCCTTTCAGTTTTTATTTATTTTTTTAAGATTAAGGTGAATTCAAATTTGGTTAAATAGCTTGTGGGTAGGTGGAAAGCATGGGCTTTTTGGAAACCAAATAAACTTGTTTTATGCTTTATCCTCAAAAAAAAAAAAAGATTAGCTATTAAATAAATCTTTAAGATAGGTATGCAAAGAATGCCAAAAAACAGCAGTAATATTACTAGAGAGCTGCAGAAGCGCTTTAGTCTTGGCTGTATAGCTGATGGGTGATGATGATGATAATAATAGTGGTAAACAGTTACAGAGTGCCAAACACTTCACAAGTATTATCTCACTTCATCCTCAGAGCAACTGTTTTACACATGAGGAAACAAGGCTCCGAGGGGTTCATAAGGATTACTCAAGATTACATATCCAATCAGTGGCAGTATAGAAACCTGAGCACAAGTCTGTCAGCTCCAAAGCCTGTGCTCCTAACCTTTCAAAGGAAAGACAGGCACACAGTTTAAGCTACCTTTTGACATTTTGACCCATTGCAGTAAACTAGAGCTGCCAGAGCTTGAAGAATTTTCATGTGTGTCCAGGAACTGCACTGTCGAATAGCTGAAATAGTATATGCCAACAGGAAATCCAAGTTCTGTTCATCAACAATCACCTACAGAGAGATGAAAAAAACAGATGACTCAACTTTTAAAATACGTTTTCATCCTTTTACAGACATGTATGCTTGCCTGAACCAACCCGTGTTAAGAGAGAGGTTTTTTTTTTTAATCAAATTTTAAAAATTTGATCAAATTTAAAATTTAACTTAAAACTTTGATCAACATAGAAGACTTCTCTCTGCCCCAGGGTCTTGCTCACTTCTTTCCTTCTAGTCCTTCCATTCAATGTAGAACCTGGCAAAGTCCTTGTAACTTTTCCTTGAATTAACCAGAAACTGGTTAATTATAGATAGAAGACTCAATCCACTGAAATTTATTAATTCAATTAAAATGCCTTATACAAAGTAGTCTCTAAACAAATACAAAGTGAATAAATATATTTGGTAAATAGTTACAATGTTTGTTTTTGGTAGTACAGGGGTTTGAACTCAGGGCTTCTACGGCTATGATGTAGGGGAACACAACATGATGTGGGGAGTACAACAAAAAGAGATGGCATATTTCAGCCCCCACAGACAGATTAGACTAACCTAAGTATCAATTTATGAACATTTGAAACAAACTGTCATCAGTGCTAGAAAGTTGGTTATGGGCTATAGGTGCTATAAGTGATTAGGAAGTTTCCCAACTTCCAGTGATCCAAAAATACCACACCAGAGCAGTACCACCCAGAAGCCACCATACATCAGTTAGAAACATTCTAAACTTAAAAATAGCCTTATTTCAGGTAACAGATTCCGTTGGTTACCTAGCATCTCTGTTCCTGATGGTAGAGTTCTGATTTGGATGCCTGTCTTTTCCACATGAGACCCACAAGCAAATCCTAATTAGTCTAAGACAGTGGTTCTCAAGCATGGGCAATCTCGACTCCCTGGGAGTATTTGGCAATGTCTATAAATATTTTTGATTGTCACAATTGGAAGGGTGCTACTGGCATCTACTGAGCACAGGCTAGGATGCTAATAAACATCCTGTAATGCTAGGACAGCATTAGAAAATAAATAATTATTCAATCCAAATTATCAGTAATGCTTAGGGTGAGGAAACCCTGAAGCAAGCACATTGTAATTGTTTAGCAAATTTAAGCTCCTTGACTGTACATCCTAATATACAGTCAAGGTTGAAATCATTTAAGCCACTCATAGTAATACCATTCTCCTGCTCACAGACTGGTTAAAGAGGTGTTTATATGACTTGGGTCTCCAGTGTGATATCAGGGGAGTCTGCTGCTGACTCTATGGGACAAGTTTTCTCATTCCTAAACAAAAGTGATACAACAAAATAGTTCTTTGCTGGATGTTAGTTTGCACAGAATGCCTAGAACTGAGGCAGCCATCTTACTATCGTGAGAGAGGCTATCTGGGAATGAGCCACACACCAAGGATGGCAGAATGGAAAGATGCCAGTAAGCTTCTTATTATTAAGGAACCCTAGGGCAGGCTCCTTTGGGACTTATGATGAGGGATAATTCATTTTTTTCTTTTTTTACAGTTTAGGTACTTTGGGCTACCTTTTGTTTCTTGCAGTCTAAAGTTTCCTAGCTGACATCATGCCTATTGATATGTTTTATATTCTTAGATAATTCCTATACTCATGTATATTCATATACTTAATCCTAGAAAGATAGTGGACTTACTTAGCAAGTTGGAAAAGGCTCTAGAGATTAGGAGCTGTAGTAAAGACCTTGATATAAGTAAATGGGGCCTTTTAACTTTAGTGTTGCCTTATCCTCCAAGCTACTACTTAGGTTTTATGTACATCAACAGTACATTACAAAAATGATGGCTTTAGGAAAGGGGGAAAAATGGTGGGAAAGAAGTAAGGGATCATGTCAATTTATTCAGAAATATATCTTAGTCAACTTTATCTTCCATTTTAAAAAAAAATCTAAGATTAGGGGGCTTGAGTGATATTGTTTTATTGCACCAGAAATACTTCTAATAGACAAAATAAATATTTGGTCAGAGTTATATTTTGTTTTAATATAGTCTTCTTTTTTCTCTTTTTGTGGTGCTGGGGATTGAACCCAGGGCCTCCTGTGTGCTAGGCAAGGGCTTTACCACTCTAACTGAAGGCATTTGCTTTCCCTAGTGTCTAAAAGACTAGCCTATCATACCTACCACAGGCATTTACTTATTCTCAGATTTCATGATCTGAATCCTAAAGTTACACACACACATGATTACCTGTAATGTGTTAAGTAAATGGTGGATCAGCTGAGATACTTTACTGACAAGATGATTCTGATTAAGAGGCACCAGTTGGCAAGCTTGGATGAGAAGAGCACTGACATCCTATCAAAAAAAAAAAAAAAAAGACAAACCAAAGGTAATGTACCTATTAGCCAAGTGCAGATCCCCAAAACAGAGCCAAATGGGAAAATTAAAGAGTCATACTCAAGAATGGGGGAAGATATCATCTGAATGAAATTTGAGGCAGAACACAGGAGAGAAAATGAAATAACAGCACAAAAACAGGATGTGCTAAAGAGAAGGACAATAATCAATATGGTTTTTTATCAGGCTACAGACTCCAGTTTCTACCATGCACGGACAGTACAATGAGTAATCAAAGAAAGGCTTCTAGAATATAAAAGCACATACTGAAGTTAAAAATACCAAAAATAAGTGAACTAGATTTTCAATACCATTGGGAAAAATCAGAAATGACACTTGTAGGAATCTTATGTAAAATTGGGGAATTATAAAAAAGAGGAACCTATTTGCAAATAACACCGTTTATTCATTGATGTTTACTGAATCTAAAGGCTCTGAACATCTACTCTGTACCAGGTTTTAGGGTAGGCTAGGTCCATGAACTCCAAAGGTGAAACAAACATTTTCCTGAACCTCAAAGAGCTCACAATTTAGTGAGGGAGACAGAAGTACATATAAATAATTAAAGTAAATTAAGTACTAAAAGAATTAAGGACAAACACAGCGAGGAAACAGTAATTAGGGAGAATTTGTGTGGTGATTTTTGTGTGTGTGTGTGTGTGTGTGTGTGTGTGTTACTAGGGATTGAACCTAGGGTCTTGGGTATGCTAGCTAAGGTCTCTACCACTTGAGTCATGACTCAAGCCCTTTTATTTTATTTTTGAGATAGGGTTTCACTAACTGCTGGGCTGACCTTAAACTTTGTGATCTTTCTGCCTCCACCTCCCAAGCAGTTGAGATTACAGATATGAACCACCATACCCAGCATAGAGGTGATTTTTAAGCAGAATCTAGAATGTGATGGATGAACAGAACTTTGCTAGACAGCAATGGGAATGGAGTGTGCAAAGACTTAGAGATGTGAAACACTCTAAGGTACTTGAAGAGCAGCAAATTCTAGGCAGGTGCTCTCCCCCTTGAGCCACACTTCCGGCAGCATCAAATTCTAAATGACTGCACACAGGACACACAAAAGAGGAGTGGTGGGAGAAAACTGGAAAGGCACACATTTCTGCTGCAAAAATATCAAAGCATACAAAGAAATACAAATTTCCCCTGGCTTCTCCTTAATACCACTTGACTCCCTAGTGAAGCACCCTATTATTTTGTTGTGAATTCCAGATCTTTTTTTCCCCCATACATAAATATACACTTATTTTAAAACTTCCCTCCCTCCTTGATTCCCTATTGTTCTCTACTGTATGAACTGTTCTGCAACTTGGATTAACCATCTATCAATATGTATTGAAGAGCTTTGCAGGTCAGATTTTTACTTTTATAGTGAGTTTTTTTTTTTTAAATGAAAGAAAAGATAATTCTGGCAACAGAACAGAGTGGTCTGGAGAAGGGCTGAATTGGAGGGGGGGAGTCAGAGACCACCAGAATAGTCCAGGTGAGTCACCTTGACTAAGGCACTGGCAATGGGAACAGAGGAGGGTGTGGGCTGAGAAACATATTTGAGACAGATTCTGAAAAACTTGCATTGGCAGGTTCTGGAGGCGAAGAAAAGGGAAAGAACCAGTGTTTGTGAACTTGGCAGTCTGTACACACTTGTGTTGGAAGGTAGAATGGATTTGGGATGGGAGTGTATGGAAATGATGATTCATTTTTAGGAACTGTGAGCACCAGAAGGCGGTGGTATGAATGACTCAAGAGTTCAGGGAATTAGTAAGTGGTATCCAAAGTGTGTATGAATAATATTACTCAGTGAAAGGATTTCTAAAGAAGAGGCAGAGGGAGAAGGAGTAAGTAAGGTGGAAGAACAGAAAATACATGGCCTTTGTGACAGAATTAAGTTCCAATTCTAGCTCTGCCCGTGCGCCAACAACGTTGACACTGGGTCTTCTTTATAAGCTTCAGTGTTCTCATCAGCGAAAACGACCCAATAATATTCATGTTCTAAGATCCCTGGGATCGCTCATGGTACAGTACTCAATAAACAGCAAAAATAAATTTCATCTACAGATGCATTTGGATGCACAGAAGTGGTGCGTGGGAACAGAGGTGGTAGTACAGATGACAGCGGAGGTGTTAGAGAAGCCATCCAGTTGGGTTTTGAAAGATGCCAGTTTGCCAAGCCCTGCAGTCTTCCAGATGGAGAAGGGCAGAGAATGTGCCCCTGTCTAGGGGAGCAGGTCAGCCTGGAATTACGTCATCTGGGGCGAAGGCGGGAGCCAGCAGCCAGGTCCCTGAAGGGTGGGGCTCAGAGTCGCAGGCGTGGCTCCCGGCCTCCCCCGGCCCGCCGCCTACCTGGGGGGCCACGCCGCCACTCTCGCTGTAATTCTCGGAGATGAGCTGGTCGAAGAGCAGGTGGATCTCCGTGCGGGCGGAGCTGCTGTCATCCGGCCGCAAGGCGCGGAGCCGAGCCGAAAGGCGGCGGAACCCATTGCTCTGCTCAGGGGGCGTCTCCCGCGGCGCCTCCGGAGGCTGTCCGCCCAGCAGCGAGCCGGCAACTTGCACCGCCGCCATTTTTCCCACAACACCTAGGGAAACACTTCCGGGGCACCCCCCACCCCCCGGGGGTTCGGCGCGCCGGAAATACCTTATTTGGAGTAGACCTGCAAGCAGAGGTGGTTTCCATGATTATGGTATCTCAAAAAAGATTAAAAAGAAATTAGTTTGGAAACTTTTGCCGCTCATTTCTCCTTGGCACTGACTGAAAGGTCAGTACTCTCAGAAAGTTTGTTCCTGGGCAGGGCCGACATTATTCTGTTTCGTACTGGACTTTCAGATTTGGGCTGGAGTTAAAGAGGGGCTGCTGTGGATAACAATGGAAGAAACTTCTACTTCTATGAAATCCTTTTCTTCTTACATCGTATCAGAGACTCTTCCCCAGGCACATTATCCCGAATAAGGGCTACATTACCCAGTACTCCTTGCAGTTGACTATAAGTAATTGAAATCTGACTAATAGAATGTAAAGCTAATAAATCTGACTGATAGAATATAAGGCAGAGTTCCAGTATTTTCGTGACAGCTGACTCACTCTCCTGTTCCCTTCTCTCCCCTTTCATAACGTGAGTGCTCCTGTGAATCATGAGGCATCTTTACCCCCAAAAGAATAATTTTGGAGTTCAAACAGTCATGTAAAATATAACTTCCCTAAGAGTGGAATTAGACCTACTTGGGAAAATTTCCAAGATTTCCTGAAACCTTAGAGGCCAAGAAGCTGGAAAATGAAGTAACCATTTTAAGAGCTTTTATTAATTTTTTATCACCCAAGAAGTGAAGGCTGGACATTCACATTTGAGAAAACTGGAACCATATTTAGGACCTTTGAGTTCGGCAAATATAAGGCAAATCCTCATTTCTGGCTGGTAGAGAAAACCCTGAAGCCATCTGAATGTATGGTTTTTTTATTCTAAGAATAGAACACTTTGTTCATCAATGGAATTTGGGCCATGCTTTAGCAGTGCTAGTTCTCCATATACTTTGAACTTCTTTGAGCAGAAATGTTTTTTTTGTTTGTTTGTTTGGATTTAGATTCTATTGCTTGTTCTTGGTATATGCATATATATGTTACATATGTGAATGCATTTGTGATAGTATTCAAACTTTTGCTCAAAGAAAATAAAAAGCTGAAACTTAGTCATTGGGTGTTTTGAGTTGGAGTTCCTAAAAGAAGATCCTCAGACAAGGATGATTTATTTAGGAATGAACATGGAAGGAAGGAAGGAGAATTGATGTGAAAATTGATTCAATATGAATATGTGATATTGAGTGTTATTGCAAGGGGGTGACTGACTGCTCAATCCTTGGGAGTTTCTGAGAAATCTTATGGAATGGTCTCAGAACTGCCATCTGACAAATGGAAGAGGAAAACATACCTGCCAGCTTTTAACCTCTATTGTCATTCATTCATCATACCACCAGGCATTAATTCTCTGATTGAGAATTAATTATTCTCAACATTATTGTGCAGTGCTTCCTACAGGGACCACTAACTCTAACCCTGTTGCATAGTCAAAGAAGCCCTGAGGCAAAAGTGAGATCTGTGGGATAAAGGATACATGTCCAAGGCAAGGCTCTGAAAAGGCTCTCGGATGCCTGAGATGAACTGGTTGCTACAGCGGTGGTTGTATTTGCTTAAGACCAAAAGCATTTGAAGCTGTGCTTAAAAGATGTTCAGTACACTGAACTAGAAGTATGTGAAGCCTGGTCATTACCACAATGAAGGTGGTGTGAAGAGACTATGGAAAGAATCTGAGTCTAGTGTAGTTCATTGTAAGTTGTAGCAAAGATGATCCATATGTAGTGTTATTTAAGACTGAATGACCCAAGTATTGCAAGTATACTGATATCAATCTGTTGGATTCAGATAGAATATGTGGATGGCAGTGTAGTTCCTCCAAGGAAATAAACATTTGTAGTCACAAGTAGTAACCAACTGAAGGAAAAAAATATATCAAACTCCCAGGGAGAACTTTGAAATTCCCTTGTGTTGGCTTGAGTTGGCTTGAGGAAAGGAGTACCACTCATTTTCTACTTCCTACCCTGAGACCATGGAAACTTACAGCATGGCAAAGGCTCTCTTCCAAGAAAATCTCACACATCCTCATTCCTCCAACATTTTAATAGTCTTATAGTGACTTGGGGTCTTCAAGGATTGCTAAGCAAATCCATAGCCATTTCCTTTTAAAATTATGTATGAGCTAGGCATGGAAGTACATGCCTGTAATTCCAGCACTAGGGAAGCAAAAGCAGAAGGATTCATAGTTTAAGAACAGCCTGAAATACATAGTGAGAACCTGTCTCAAAAAACAAAACAAAAAATTCTGTGGTGTGGAACCTTATTCTGGAATTTCACATCTTTCATATTTGCAACCCTGTCATGGCTTCATTTTTATCATTTTGTTAGTCTGGATCATTCTAACTAAAGTAGGCTTGCATATTCCCACTCTATTTCACATTCTTGTTTATTTTTTCAGAACATAATCTGTAGTTAACTTGTTCATATGTTTACTTGCATATTATCTCTTGCCACCTCTAGAATATGAGTTTCATGAAGGTACAGATCCTACCTGACTCATTCACTGTTGTGTTCCCAGAGTTAACAAGCATTTGGAATGTGGTAAGCTCACCACAATACTTGTTGACAAGATGAATGAATTCTCTGTTTAATTATTTATTCAGAACATTCTATTTTCCATCTATTGGATGATGAGAAAATCAACTGGGACTTTTGTGAAACTGCTTTGGAAACTGTAAGGTTTTATAAATCTTAGCACCCAAATGAGGTAGAGGTATCATATCCTCCTTACAGTGAAGGAAATGATACTAGAGTTTAAATAGCTTGTCAAAGGCCACATAGGCAGAAAATTGGTCAAAATCAGACTGCAACCTAGGCTACAGAATCTTAAATCTGTGATAATGAAGAATAAAGAAGTTATAAGACATATTTTCCTTCCACGTTTTATGATGGGAAAAACCAGAAAAAGGGCTGGCATTCAGTACCCAGATTAAAACTTGAGCTAGGAGAGGCTAAGAGAAAGATTGGCTTTAGGTTCTGCTTTACAATCTTGCAAAATTAAGACTAAGGGATATCAGCCATCTATTTGATGGTAATAATAATAATAATAGTAGTTAACATTTATTGAATACAGGCATCCCTTGTAATTCACGAAGGATTGGTTCCAGGACCCCCAAGGATGTCAAAATCTTTTTTTTTTTTTTGGTGGGGCTGGGGTTCAAACTTAGGGCTTTATACTTGCAAAGCAGGTGCTCTACTTCTTGAGCCATACCTCCAGTCCATTTTGCTCTGGTTATTCTGGAGAAGGTGTCTTATGAACTACTTTCCTGGGTGGTAGAACCATGATTCTCCTGATCTTAGCCTCCCAAGTAGTTAAGATTACAGGGATGAGCCACTGGCTCCTGGAAAGTAAATCTGAGAATTCTCATTTGTTATATAAAATGGCATGGTATTTGCATATCATTTACATACGTTGTCCCATATATTTTAAACCATCTCTAGATTAATACCTACTAACAATGTAAATGTCATGCAAACAGTTGTTATACTTTAACATTTAGAGAACAATGACAATAAAAAAATTGGTAAAAATCAAATGCATGTTCAGTAGAAACACATTTTGTTTCATGAAATATTTTAAATCTGCCATATGTGTTGACTCTGTACATTCAGAAAGTAGGAATTCAGAGGGCCAACTGTACTTCTTATGTCAGGCACTGTACTAAGCACTCTGCATAAACTAACCTCTTTTATCTTTGTATCTTTGTGAGGTGTATACTATCATACAGATGAAGAAACAAGCACAAAGAGGTTAGGATACTTGCTGAAGGTGTGTAGTCAGATGTGTTTGAAATTCAGAGTCAACGCTCCTGGTCACCATCTATAATGCATAGGCCTTAGAGTCTGACATGGGATTATAGTATAGGCCCTGACACTTACCTGATATTTGACTTCGAGCAAATTACTTAATTTCACCCCAAACTCAGTGTTCTAACATGTGATATAATAGTGCTAAGCACAGTCAAAAGATTGTTGTAAGAATAAGACAATGCATGCGGAGAACTTCAAATAGTCCTTGCATAGAAAGTGGTCAACAAATGTTATGTATCCTTTTCCTCAGTTCCTCAGATGCCCCCATCAACTTAGTATTTTGTCACTGTGACCAAGTGTCTGAGAAAAATTTTAAAGGAGGAAGTATTTTTTTTTGGCCCATAGTTTATAGAGGTTTCAGCCTATGGCTGGCTGGTTCCATTGCTTTGGACTGAGGTGAGGTAGAGTGTTATGGCAGTGGGAGTGTGTGGCAGAGGCTACTCACCTTTTACCAACCAGGAAACAGAAAGTGGGAAACAGGAAGGGCCCAGGGACAAGATGCCCTTCAAAGGTATGCCCCCCAGTGACCTAATTTCTCAAGCTAGGGCCCACCTCCTAAAGTTCCTACTGCCTTCCAAAATAATGTCACCAGCTAGGGATTAAGCTTTCAACACATGGACCTGTATGGGATGTTTTATATTCAAACTATACCAGTCATTAACCAAATAACTCAAGTAGTGTAGAGACTTGCAATGATGGTTTATTAAAAGAAACACCTTCCCTTTCTTTCCCCCAAATGCCTTTAGTCTCTATCCACAGGTCCTTGTTTTCATCTGTCTTCATGGACATGAAGCTCCAATGACATCTTTGCAGGTAGAAACTACAGGAAAAGATAACCAGTTATTAGGGAAGATGGCTCTAAAGATAACTCTTTATCTAAGAAATGGAAAAAATGCATGAGACCTGATGTTTTGGGGACCCGGGTCCACAGAAAATAATTGAGAGTCCACAGTTCCCAATTTTCAAAATCCATAGTAACCGCAAGGAGCTAGCAAAATTCCAAGCACCCAGGATTGCAGGGCAAGTGATCATAAATGGCTTGTTTTTGAAGTATATACTGATTCTGTTATATTTAACACAACTTAATTTATAATCAAATTGAGTCATGGTAGCTTTTTATTATGCATTTCTTTCAATTTACCAAAAATAAGGAAGCTATCATATGAGGCCCCCAAAATATTTTATATAGGAAAGGGATCCTTATAGGGCAATGTGGCAATGTGCATAAAGGCTTAAAATAAATCTATATACAATTTGGTCATCAATTATATTTCCTAGAATTTATTCCAAGGGAATTAATAAGGACACGTTGATGCAGTATTTATTATAGCCATATTAATAGTATAAAAATAAGGAGTATCTTAAATGTGTATTAGTGGAGATTATTGAGTATATGAATTTGTATAATGTACCATAGAGATTGTGAAGATGATGGGGTGGGAGAGAAGCATCAGTATTGCTATCAACATTGTTCACTAGCTATGTTAAGTGAAATAATTAGGAAATCTAAATAAGTACAAGATCCTCATTTTAAAATACATAACAAATATTTGTGTGTATCTAAAAATATGCACCACAGTGTTAAGCAGTCATCATTTTGGAGGGGGCAATTACAGGTGATTTTTATCTTCTTTTTGCTCAAAAATAGTCTGATTTTTTCCCCAGGATATAGTGGGTAAAGAAATTATTTTAAAGGTTTGGAAAACACCATTATTTGGTGGGTGTTTTTTTTTCTTGTGATGAAGAGGGAGAGGTTACAGTGAGACAAGTAGGCTTCTGTCCCATCCAATTTCTGGAAAATCTTATAGGGGTCAAATATACAACCTGCCTAGGCTGGACAGGCCTGGGGAAAACAGAAAAGGTGTATGTTTTTACCTCTTAGTCTATAGCACAGACATGGCCACACCCATTGCTGACACATTGCTCTCCTGGTCCACAGTCCCAGTCACCATGGCAGAGCTCAATGCAGGTACCTAGGTTAGAACAGACCAGGTGAAAACCACTATGTTTTAGGCACAAGGGCTGGGGATCAAAGCCATTGATTAAGGAGTAAGTTCTTTTAGCTCAATGCATAATATAATTTACAAATCATTTCTGCAGAATAATACAGATTAACATCTTATCTACTTCAGTTAAAAATAATGCAATCACACAATCCTAACAAAGTAAGACCTTCAGAGATGAAGATAGAATGATCATGTTTGTGGAAAGGAAGTAAGAAGCCCACCCAAGTGTCCTCACTTCCCTCACTGCAGGAAATGGACAGAGAAGGGAACTTGCATATACTGAACACCATCAAGGGTGACTTGTAGCAACCCTGCGCAGTGAGTCTTCCTAGCCCCAACACCTGCTCCTTCTGTGTCTTACTTATTGAAACCAAGCGCATCTCCAGATTTGAAGAAGTCACTCTTGAGTGATTCTTGAGTCCTGAGGGAGACTCCCTAAATTCCCAGAGTTTCAATATTAGCCATGAGGACAATTGAAGTGGGTTCAAAAAGCTAGTTAAGATACCAAGGAACTTCTAGCAAAATACCACGCATTTCTCTGGATGAATCTGTGCTGTGCTTGTGTCAGCTACCCAGCTATCATTAGGAATTTATCTACTTGATCCTATCTCTAGACTTCTCTGGGCCATTGTTTTCTCATCTGTAAAATAGGGCCTAGGATCCAGCAGGGAAACAAGGATCATTTTCCTGTGTCAACTTAAATCAGTAGAGGTGACTCTGATCCTCTGTTGAGCAGGCTCAGAAAGAAAGTGTACCAAAGCTGATTAGCAGTATCTCAGGCATTTAAGAAGGGAGGCTGGCAGGTATCTTTATAGACCTCAGAGAAAATCGGTGTGATCCCTCCATCTTTCTAGTAGCTATTGTTGATTTGTGACAAAAGGGTTGAAGATCCCTTGTCCCCACTCACAGAAGTTTGGTCATTTATTAATTACCAATTGATTTCTTAATATATTTGTATATATATAATATAATATAGAGGAAGTTATTCAGGAAATACAAAAATATAATGTAAGTTCTTTAGAATCTAACAATGGAGATAAGATTTGTTTTTTAAAGTACTAAAAACTAGTATTTCACGAGTGTCCCGAGAAAGTGCACCAGAGGACACAATAGGACTTGAAGGTGATAAGACATTATTTCCAGTTAGATTGATCAGAGTCTTGAAGTGCAGGAATCTTAAGGCTGAACAGGAGGGGGGCAGGTGGAGTGCTATAAGAGAAATTAATTGTTAACAAAAATTTACAAGGGGAAAATGATATAATGGGGCTGGGATTGGAAGAGGCCAGTGAGGCACCTAGGGTACAAAGTATAAGGAGGCACTTAGACAATCCTGAGACTGAGTGCCTCTGTAAATCTTATACCCCAGGTATCCCATTTGCCTCACTCCTCACTATGAAATATGAAGAATTCGAGAGGAATGACAAATGGAGGGCTGGGCAGGAAAAGTAAGCAGGGGTCAAAGCTACAGTGGGAGGCAGGTCACCGGGACCTGTGGACTTGGGATTGCATTTGATAAGCCAAGAAAAGGAGGTGATTGCTATTCACTTGGGAGGATAATTGTGGTTTCAGAGCACAGCGTGGACCAGGATTCAGCAGGAAAGCAAACTGCAGAGGCTAGCGAGGGCAGGGAGAACTGTTTGGAAGCTACTGCAATGGCCCAAGCATGGGGTAGTCAGGGCTGGACACAGTGTGGCTATGGGAGGTAGAAAGAAAAGAACATATGCAAGAAACAGTTTCAAAGAACGGACAGTATTTGACAGCCAGTTTAGTGTAGTGGGCAGGAGAGTGAAGAAGAGAGGAGTAAGTTGAATGCAATAATATGTAGAAGAGTAAGATGCAGTGAAAGATAACCCAGGAAAGAAGAACATGTGAGGACTGAGGAAGAAGCAAACAATGTCATTTGCTGCAGGCGTTAGACTTTGCAATTGAGATCAGGGGATTCATCAGCAGGACCTTGGAGAGAAGTATCAGGAGAATAATTGGACAGGAATCAAGGCTGTGGTCACTCTTTAAGGGGCTAAGGAATGAATAACAGGGAAGTAAGGGCAGAGAATTAAGAAGACTTCTCTGAGAATATTGGTGGTAAAAGAAGAGATTGAGATGATTCATGATTAAGAAAATATTTTCTCTAGACAAGCCAAGTAAGAAGCTGGTAGAGAGGGAGGTGCTGGGAGATGAGGGGGCAACAAGGGGAGAAATGGAAGTCCAGTTGGAGGACGACTCAAAGAAAGAAAAGGTTGGAAAGTGGAGGTAAGAGAGGGAGCTGAGTGGAGGCCAGGAGGGCCCTTGCTCCTTAAGAAGAATATCCTTCCTTCCTTCATCTCTTCCTCCCACACACACTGGTCCCCGGTGTCCTGTGTTCTGGCTCCCGCATCCCAAGAAGAATGGTGCTGCCTTCTGCCTGGACTCACCCAAAAGCCTCAGTGGTCTCACTGCAGCCTGAAGCTCCTGTACCTCTAGGCTGAGGGTGATGAGGATCAACAAGAGAAGGAAGCCTCTCAACTTCATGTTGCTGCTGAAGTCTTGGTAAATACGCAGTAGGACTGAGAGAGGCTGAAATTTATACCCTTCTGCCCACTGAGCTGGAACGCAAAGCCAGGAGCAGACTGTGACAGCCTAAGCCCCACCCAGAAACTGACATTGCTGGAGACATCCCTTGTGTGCTCAGGTAAATAGCATGTTACCCAAGCCAGGCTCGGCGCCAAGGGAACACCTTCCTCTGACCGGCAAATAATACTAAATCAGGAAAGCTGGGAAATGGGGGTGGGGACTTACTTTCATTCACTCGTTCATTTTCAGCACATGTATTAAGTATCTGCTTTGAGCCAAGAATGTGCTAGGCATAGGAATATGTCCTTAGAGAATCTGCAATCCAGGAGCTGGATGCTAGATAGCAAGGGTGCAGTCTGCCCTTTCACTTCCCTGCTCTCTCGCTCGCTCCAGAATGGTCACCTCTGTAATTGAGGGCAGGGAGAGGCAATGGGAGAACTAGCAGGGCTGTTCTGCCATCACCTGCTGGTGACACAGTAGGCTTCCTCACTTTTCCTCTTTCTTGGCCTTTTTTCATCTGCTGCCAGGCACCTGGGCAGGTATGGTAGTCTTTGCCAGTATGATAGATGTAATTTTCTAAGGGTGGAGTTCCACTTCTCATTGTCCAACTTAATTTCTGAGGATCCTAACTCCGTATTTCTGAGGACCCTAACTCTCTCATGCTGCACATTGCAGAGGAACTTGGGTGGAGCTGTAGACCGAGCAGCCTAGGAGTTAGATTTCATTTCGTCTTTCTTCTAGGTACTCCTAAAATAGATCAGTGATTTTCTAAAACACACATGTACCTTGGTTGTTTTGGGGAGTTGGGTGGGGCAGGATATGTCCTTCCTCAATGGTTACAGGGGGACAAGCATAATTTTCAACCGTGAACACTGTGTCCCACAAGATGTGTTAATGTGAGTTAGGGAGGATACCTGGGTTGGTCAAAGGCAGCAGGATCAGTTTATAGCCTCTGGAGAGATGGCTGATCTCATTTTGCAAAGAAGA